CTAACTGCTATTCAATCTATAACAGTGAAAAAAGTTTTTTGTTTTTAAATCCAAGCTATTGTGACACCAGATGTAATTGGTGGCACTGACTGGGGAAATGGGCACTGTGAGCCTGACACAGAAGCTGGCAGCAGTGGCAGACAACCAAGTGCATTTACATTAGATAGAAAAAAAAAATCCAAAAAAAGCATACCCTTATCCCTAACCTAGCTATGCTTTTCCCTATCTTATGAACAGCAGCTACACTTTCCCTCCTCTTACTAAGCATGCAGCTTGAGAATGAATCTAAAATGGATGCTGTCCAGTAGGTGGGAGGGTCTGCTAGGGAGGCTGTGCTGCTAATTGGCTGGAATGTGTCTGCTGACTGTGAGGTACAGGGTCAAAGTTTACTCAATGATGACGAATAGGGGGCGGGTCGAACCGCGCATATGTTCGCCCGCCGTGGCGAACGCGAACATGCTATGTTCGCCAGGAACCGTTCGCCGGCGAACCGTTCGGTACATCACTAGTGCTCACCATGTGCATAATGGAGTCTTGTGTCTGTCCTGGGAGATAATTGAATTACTTCTCAATTCAATCTCCAGGATAGAAGACTCTGAAACTGGTTTGGGCCGGAAAGCCATGCTTCATTTAGTCACAAAGGACTTTCCCTTAACTTTTGAACCCCTGGTCTGATTCGTGCCATTTTTTAATATGTTGTTCCCCTGAATGGATTGATTATGAAAATGTATGCTTTATGTTTGTGACATGTATATTTTAGAAGTTATAAATATTGTGTAAAAACTGTATTCCTCTGCCGGTGATAATGAGATTACCCATTGTGTTCAGTAATCATATCACAGACAGAGGGGAGGATTTTGTGTGGGAGTGTCTGGGTGTATTGTACGGATTGATTGGTTGTTTTGTAACGCCCTGTGGGCTGTACTATGTTTATGGATTGGGAATAAATGAGACTGTATGTGACAGTACAGGAGTTCCTGTTTTAACCCTCAAAGTGAAGTGTCGTCTCATTATTGGTGGAAGGATTTATTGTATGCTGTTCCAGTTTGACTGCTAGGAGAGTAAACCTATTCGTATGGTTCCTATTCAACTGTCTACAGCATTCACATGCTTGAGAGCATTCATATGCTCCTACAGTTCGGTGGTTTTGGTGGCTGCTGCAGTGCTTGGAGTCCTCAGGAAGCGCTAGGAGCATCCTTCAACGGAGGTACCCAGTCGGGGTGCCAGGTGATCCGTTACACCACCCCTTGACAGATGCCATTGTAACAACATAATTAAAAGTATTCACTTCTCTATCAGTAGTTTTAATGTTGTGGCTAATCTGTGTATTTACATAGACTGAAAAAGGTGTGTCCATCAAGGTCAACCTTTCTCCCATTAGTGTTTTTGCTGTTGATCCAAAAGAAGGCAAAAAAAAAAAAACATTTGAAGTGCTTTCGAATTTTGCAGCAAACTAGGAAAAAGATCTTTCTTGACCTCAGAATGGTAGTCAGATGCTTAGACACTCACACACAGCCAAAAATTATCAGTAGCTGCCTTGATGTTCGGCAATGGTTGTGCAGCTGAGCTGGAATATGATGTCAAGCTGAATCCTGTCGACTTTCAGTCTTTCGCATTATGCTGCTGCCACTCCTCACACCTCACTGTAAGCCACCAGTAAGCTGTAACCAGCTAGATCGGCCCGCCAGGAAATTGTGGTGGTTGTAAGCCACTAAGGATAATTTTTCCATTAGATACATGTACATTGAAATGCTTTGACCTTATACACATTACAAAAAGACAGCAAATGTTCATAAACAATATGCTACAATATAGGTTAAACATGTATTAAAATAATTACATATATGCCATATTAGTCCTGTGAGGTAGATGTAAACTAGCAGATAGAATAGGATCATGTAATACCTTTTTTATTGGATTTATGACAAGCTTTTGGGAGATTGACCCTTTCTCAAGCATAGATCATGCCCCTGCAGGTGCACTGATGAATTCTGTAAAATGTAGGAGTTAAATGACTTTTACCACCAAGGAGAGATCAAAGCTCTGCCGGAAGGAGTGGTACAAGTGGTCTGCAGACCAGAAGTTGCACCCACTTGACCACCAGGGATCGGTGTTCTACCCTCCCTAGTCCAAGTGAGGGGAGAGGATAACAACTTTTAATTTTTTCATGTAACATGCTGCTACAAACAGTCCCAACCACAAACGCAACCACCAACCCCACAAGCATTATCTCCACACACAAACACCCATATAAAAAAGAAATGACCCCTGTTCAAAACTCTGCATACCCTTAGTTCTTAATACTGTGTATTGCCCCCTTTAGATTTAAGGACAGTATGCAGTCTTTTGTAATAGTTGTCTATGGTTTTCTATGAGTCCCCTAATTCGTGCAGGTGGTATAGCTACCCATTCGTCTTGGCAAAATGCCTCCAGGTCATGCAAAGTCTTTGGTAGTCTTGAACCGCACGTTTGAGATCTCGCCAGAGTGCTTCGATGATATTAAGGTCAGGAAACTGTGATAGCCACTCCAGAACCTTCACCTTTTTCTGCTGTAACCACTGGAGGGTCAATTTGGCCTTGTACTTAGGGTCATTGTCATGCTGGAAATTCCAAGAGCGCCCCATGCGCAGCCTTCGTGTAGAAGACTTCAAATTGTCTGCCAGTATTTTCTGATAACATGCTGCATTCATCTTGCATGTGACCTGAGACTTAATTATACATTTTCTTTTACTTTATTAAATAGATTTGACAGAATTTATCTTATTTTACAGTCTCTTCTATGGCAAGAAAAGACCTAGTCATATGAAATATATCTTTAACAGAAAATCGCAATGATGTGGGGTACCTCTGGACTCACGAAGAGTCATCCTTCAGCACTCAGGAAAGGAAAAAACTCCTGTTGAGGAAAGCTCTGGGGAATCATTGCTTGAAGGATTGCCCTATCCTCTGGGCATTAACAGGCAAGTGCATGATCTTTTTATGCAGCATTTAAACTGACAGACAAACAAACACATGACAAGAAGGGGGAAAGACAGACCTACGGACACAAGGACAAACAGACAGGCAGGCATACAGATCAACAGACAAATAGAAAGATAAACTATTTAAATTGATGCACAGACAGGCAGATGACAGATAGGAAAACAGACAGGCAGGGAAAGAGACAGGTAGGCAAGCAGAATGACATTCAAAATGAAAGATATACATATGATAGGCACTTTTCTCTCTCCCCTTCCATGTTGCAAACTTCCCAAAGCAGCTTGAAAAGCAAAACATGATGCGCATCCTCTTGGAAGAAACACCAGCATTTGATAAAGGTATATGAGTAGTCTAAACCTGCAAGGTCCTCCATTTATCCAGATCAAATTGAGGGCTAGCTCCAAATCTTCAGACACATCCAGTTAAGGCATAGATGCCTATGCCATTGAGATGGCACAACAACTCTCGATACAGTGTGCAGCTCAGTTACAGCCTCTCATACATCTGGGAGGTTAACAGAATATTCAAGCAAGAGTAGCTGCTTAATATCTATGACATCACAGACTGACATCACAGCATGACATCAAATCCTGGTATCACAGCATGACATCAAAGCCTGGTACCACAGCATGACATCAAAGTATTACATCACAGGCTGACATCATCTTCAATGGTATCACTGCTAAGTATCAATCTACCGAAGTAGAAGGGTAGACAGGTGGAGGGGAGCGTTTCAGAATTATACATAGAAATGTGGATTTCCATGAAAATGGAAAAAGGGTCTTCACAATAAAAAACCCTTTGATAGAAACCTGAAAGTAAGCATTGCTATCTCCACTGCTTTCTGACCCTATGACCACTTTGAGAAAACGTATTTTTTTATTACTGTATCCACTTTGATACCTTTATTTCTAGACAAGTATTAGTTATTATCCTGAGCCTGTATTGTTTCTCATTCCATCCTCACTTTTCCCTATAATAATTGTGGTTAATCTGCAATTTTATTAAAGGACACGGAGGCTCCTATTATGCTTATTCTCTTTCTTTATTTCTCAGCAGCAAAAGAGAGGATATTGTAGATATTCAACAAAAATTTAAATAATAACATCATTTACCCCAAAGGGTTAACCACATATAACATATTAACCAATGAGAGTGTTCCTAGCATAAAAAACAAAACAAAAAAAAACAGCTAAGTACAATTTTTCTTCTTTGTCATAGTTTGGGAAATTGTATGTGTATTTTTCTCTGTTTGGGTTAATTACCCTTTATTACCAGGTTACCTTTTAGTTGATCCATTTTATTTCATTGTTATTTCATTTTATTTAATATCTATCCTTGTTTACCTTATTTGTGTTTCAAACTGTTTCTGCCTTTGTAGTTCCCTCCCTCCCCCCATCTGTCAGGTCGGTTTGTTTATTTTCTGACCGTTCTTCTTCCCTGCGTTATTTGATTGCCTCACACCTCTCACACGCCGGTTACCGTTCTTTTCCGCGGTCCCGGTGGATCGCGGCTCCAGCCATGGCTAGTGCAGCTCGCGCATGCGCACATAACGAGTGTGCATCGCGGCCGCCATTTTGGGATTGGCGGTTTTGCCGCGCTTTTTCTAGCGCGGCCAATAACGCTCGCCTGGGGGCGGGAATAAGACTGTGTTACTAGGCAAGCTACCGGTGCTCCCCAGGACCTTATTCCTGAGGGAACACTCGGTGAGCTTGCTTTATTGAGTTATTTGTGCCTAGTTTGTTACATAGATTGGTGCCTGTTAGATCTTTTCTTACATTGTTTATCAGCCTGCTAATACTGTTAAGCTCCCTACTACAGCTAGTAGTGCCCAACTTGAAGATAATTTTTTCTGATGGACATTTCTGGCTCTGCCACCAGTGTCACTATAACCCCTAACCCCCTTCCAGAGTCCAAAACACCCACAGTAACTGTAGTGTCACAGGAGCAAATGGACTCTGAAGAGTTACATTCCCTCCTGGACGCTGCCGAAGTCCGTGACACAGGCCATATTTACCGCTATGGCGGCCATGTCGGACAATATCTCCCATTCAATTACCAATACACTGAAATCCACTCAGCTGCCACCAACTCCCACTACTAACCCCCCAGAGAACAAACCGGTGACCCCTTGTGGGCGTAAAGCCGCAAAAAAGTCTCGCCACCTGGACGAGGATGCCACCAAAACATTACAGAGGGACAGGGTATGTCCTGTCACAGATCATGTGGTTGTACCACAACTAAGAGCCAACCACCGGGCAAAATCGGTGAGGAACTGGAAAAGGGCTAAAGCCCTCATTGAATCCTCTAAATCTGAGTCAGAGCAAGAGGAGGCACAGAGCGAGTCCGATGAGGAGGACTCTTATGATCCCAACATTTATTTTTCAGAGCACAGCTCCTTGACAGTAGCGGGAAAAGACCCCAAAGATGGAGTGGACGACTCCTCCCTGGTTATTATTATTATTATTGCCATTTATATAGCGCCAACAGATTCCGTAGCGCTTTACAATATTATGAGAGGGGAGATTTAACTATAAATAGGACAATTACAAGAAAACTTACAGGAACGATAGGTTGAAGAGGACCCTGCTCAAACGAGCTTACAGTCTATAGGAGGTGGGGTACACGTTAAAGACACGTTAGGACAGGAAATATCAAATAGGGTGGGAGTGAAGCAAAGCTGGAGGAGAGGGTAGAGTGCTGCCCTATAGGAGAGACCAAGAGACAGGTATGTAAGGTAGAGGTTAGTCTGGGAGGCCATAAGCTTTCCTGAAGAGATGGGTTTTAAGGCTCTTTTTAAACGATTGAAGACTAGGGGAGAGTCTGATGGCGGTAGGCAGGCTATTCCATAGGAAAGGAGCCACCTGCGAGAGGTCCTGCAAGCGTGAGTTGGCTCTACGGGTGCGAGCAGTGGTCAGGAGGTGGTCACGGGCAGAGCGGAGGGAACGAGGAGGGGCATACCTATGGATCATTGAGGAGATATTAGAGGGGCTAGAATTGTTCAGTGCTTTCAATGTATGGGTTAGCACTTTGAATTGACTCCTATAGGATACAGGGATCCAATGTAAGGACTGGCAGAGGGGTGATGTGTGAGAGGACTGACTAGAGAGGAAAATCAGTCTAGCTGCAGTATTCATTACAGACTGTAGCGGGGCAATACGGCTTTTGGGGAGACCAATCAGGAGAGGGTTACAGTAATCCATGCGGGAAATTACTAGAGCATAGACAAGCTCTTTGGTCGCATCTTGTGTAAGAAAGGGGCGGATGCGTGCTATGTTTTTGAGTTGGAACCTACAGGATTTGGCAACAAACTGGATGTGAGGCTCAAAGGTAAGGCCAGAGTCAAGTATGACGCCAAGACAGCGTGCTTGCAAGGATGGACTTATGTGGATATCACTGACTTGAAGGGAGAGCGAGAGAGGAGGATCAGTATTAGGAGGAGGAAAGACAAGGAGTTCAGTTTTAGAGAGATTGAGTTTCAGAAAGCGTAGGGACATCCAGTCAGAGATGGAAGAAAGGCAAGCAGTGACACGTTGCAGGACGGCAGGGGAGATGTCCGGGGAGGAGAGGTATATCTGAGTGTCATCAGCGTACAGGTGGTAGTTGAATCCAAAAGAGGCAATAAGCTTGCCAAGAGAGGCAGTATAAAGAGAAAATAGAAGGGGACCAAGGACAGAGCCTTGGGGAACTCCAACCGAGACAGGACGAGGGGAGGAGGTATGCTTGGGAAAGGAGACACTGAATGAGCGTTGGGAGAGATAGGAGGAAAACCAAGAGAGGACAGAGTCACAGAGACCGAGCGATTGAAGAGTTTGAAGGAGGAGAGCATGATCAACGGTGTCAAAGGCAGCAGAGAGGTCAAGGAGAATTAATATGGAGTAGTGACCTTTGGATTTAGCTGCGATTAGGTGTTAGTGACTTTGATGAGAGCAGTCTCAGTAGAATGGGGAGGGCGGAAGCCAGACTGAAGAGGGTCAAGGAGAGAGTTGGAATTGAGGAAGCGAGACACACGGGTAAAGACAAGTCTTTCCAAAAGCTTTGATGAGAAAGGGAGCAGGGATATTGGGCGATAGTTAGAGGGGGAGGACGGATCAAGAGATGTTTTTTTCAGGATAGGTACTACAGTGGCATGTTTAAGGTCAGCAGGGACAACGCCAGAAGAGAGAGAGTAGTTAAAGATGTGTGTTAGGGTAGGCACAAGACAAGTGGAGAGAGATCTGGGTGGGATGGGACAGGATCGAGCGGGCAAGTGGTGGGGCGAGAGCAATGGAGAAGCACAGCCACCTCTTGTTCAGTAACCGGGCATTTAAAGCATTTAAATCGGACAAATCAGATGCATCTTATAAAAGATATAAGGATGCAAATAATGCGTGCAAAAAGGCAATTAGAATTGCTAAACTTCAAAATGAAATAATGATAGCTGAAGAGAGCAAGACCAACCCCAAAGCATTTTTTAAGTACATAAATTCTAAAAAAAAACAAAATGAAAGTGTAGGTACACTAAAAACTGAAACGGGGGTGTTAATTAATGAAGACCAGGAAAAGGCAGGAATTTTAAATAACTATTTCTCCTCCGTATATATTAAGGAAGAACCCATGGCAATAGATGTGCAAATGATTGCTACTAAAAACTTGCAGAATAATTGTAATTGGTTAACTCAAGACAAGGTGCTGCAGCAACTAAAGAAAGTTAATATAAACAAAGCTCCAGGGCCTGACGGTATCCATCCACGTGTACTTAAGGAACTAAGTGCAGAAATAAGTGAACCTCTGTTTTTAATCTTTCAAGATTCTTTTCTTTCAGGAAGTGTTCCGGAGGATTGGAGGAAGGCAGATGTGGTTCCTATATTCAAAAAGGGTTCAAAATCCTTGCCTGGAAATTATAGACCTGTGAGCTTAACTTCTGTGGCTGGTAAAATATTTGAAAGGTTATTAAGGGATAATATTCAAGAATTCCTTGAGAAGAACATGGTTATCAGCAAAAATCAGCATGGTTTTATGAAGCACAGGTCATGTCAAACTAACTTGATTGCGTTCTACGAAGAAGTAAGTAGAAGTATAGATCAGGGTGTTGCCGTGGATGTGATCTATTTGGATTTTGCCAAGGCATTTGATACAGTTCCACACAATAGATTAGTGTTCAAACTCAAGGAAATCGGTCTAGATGAAAATGCTTGTTCTTGGGTAGAACATTGGCTTAAAAACAGAGTACAAAGAGTTGTCATTAATGGTAAATTTTCAAGCTGGACAGAGGTGGCAAGTGGTGTCCCTCAGGGGTCTGTTCTGGGACCCCTTCTATTTAACATGTTTATAAATGATCTTGAAGACCGCATTGAAAGTCATGTTTCAGTGTTTGCAGATGACACCAAAATTTGTAAAACAATACAATGTGAGCAAGATATTACTTTGCTGCAGAGGGATTTAGATAGACTGGGGGACTGGGCACTCAAATGGCAGATGAAATTTAATGTTGAAAAATGCAAAGTTATGCACTTCGGCGTAAAGAATACACAAGCAACGTATACCCTTAATGGAAGCGAATTAGGGATAACAACACATGAAAAGGACTTGGGAATTGTTATAGACAACAAACTATGCAACAATGTGCAATGTCAATCAGCAGTGGCCAAGGCCAGTAAGGTATTGTCATGCATGAAAAAGGGCATTCATTCTCGGGACAAGAATATCATTTTGCCTCTTTATAAATCACTGGTAAGACCACATATTGAATATGCTGTGCAATTTTGGGCACCTGTTCTAAAGAAGGATATTATGGCACTAGAAAAAGTGCAGAGGCGGGCTACAAAATTAATAAAAGGAATGGAACATATCAGCTATGAAGAAAGGTTAACAAATTTAAACCTATTTAGTTTAGAAAAACGTCGCCTGAGAGGGGATATGATAACATTATACAAATATATTCGGGGCCAATACAAACCATTGTGTGGAAATCTATTCACAAACCGGACTTTACATAGGACACGAGGTCATGAGTTTAGACTGGAAGAAGGAAGATTTCGTCTAAGGCTGTAACGAGAATATACCCCTACACGCAGGATCCAGCTAAACAGAAGCCAATACAGAGGAGAGATACGTCTACCGGACCTTAGAATGGCCGGACTCGACGTATATGAGAGGAGACCGAGCCAGGAACAAACCGAGGTCAAGGGCACAGAGAGACAGCGTAAACTAGGACAAGCCGGGGTCTGGTACACGGAAAACAGCAAGCCGGCAAACAGTACAGATAAGGATAAAGCGAAAACGAAGTCAGAATACAAAGCCAAAGTCAATACGAGAAAACACAACTGAACACCACAAGCGCTAAAGGGAACTGAAACAGAAACCACGATAGGGCAACGAGCTAAGGGAAAAAGGTAAGTTTAAATAGCTTTTAAACGAAAGTGATTGGCTCCTGTCACTTCCACACCCCAAAAGGTAATTGTATAGGGAGTGTGGTATGACAGGAGCCAATGGGAGCCTTTTGGCAATTAGGCTCCCACTGTCTCTTTAAGAGCGCGCCCGAGACTCGCGGCGCGCTCTTAGTTTCAGGCGGGACACGTGACCGCTTCACGCGGTCACTGCCCGCCTTCCATCTAAAGCAGTCGGATGAGCCGCAGGACCGCGCGTGGCTTGAAGAGAGGACCGCGACCGGCCCCCGGTTGAGGTAAGTAACGCTACAGTACCCCCCCCTGAGGACACGCCCTCCGGGCGGGTAGGACCAGGCCTGGCAGGAAAACGAGAATGGAAAGAGCGCACAAGACGGGGAGCATGAACAGCATCAGCCGAAATCCAACTGTGCTCCTCAGGCCCATAACCCTTCCAATGTACCAAGTACTGAAGTCGACCCCTAAGGAAACGAGAGTCAAGAACAGCAGACACTTCGAACTCCTCATGACCCTCCACTGAGATAGGAGGGGGAGGAGGAGTATGCCGGGTATAGCGGTTGCGTACGTAAGGTTTCAACAATGAGGTGTGAAAAACATTAGGAATACGTAGATTCTTAGGCAGGCCTAAGGCATAAGAAACAGGATTAACCTTATGTATAATACGATAAGGTCCAATGAAGCGGGGAGCCAATTTCATAGAAGGCACCCGGAGACGAATATTCCGCGTGGAAAGCAAAACCCTGTCCCCCACAACATAGGACGGAGCTGCTCTGCGATGCTTGTCAGCCTGAGCCTTCTGGCGAGTAGCAGAGTCCACCAAAGAACGCTGAACCTGCTCCCAAGTATTACGCAAACCAGCCAAATGCTCATCCAGAACTGGCATACCCTGTGAGGAGAATGCAGCCGGAAGAACAACGGGATGCAGGCCATAGACAACGTAAAAAGGGCTCTTGCCGGAAGAATCATGAGTGGCGTTATTCCGAGCAAATTCAGCCCAAGGAAGCAGGTCAGACCAATTGTCCTGATGGTGAGACACAAAACAACGGAGGTATTGCTCCAGAGACTGGTTGGCACGTTCAGCAGCCCCATTAGACTGGGGATGATAAGCGGAAGAAAATGAGAGAGAAATACCCATTTCTGAACAAAAGGCTCTCCAGAACCTGGAAATAAATTGGCTACCCCTATCGGATACAATAGATACGGGAATACCATGTAACCGAAATACTTCTCTAGCGAAGATATGAGCCAGTTCCTTGGATGTGGGCAACTTGTGAAGAGACACGAAGTGAGCCATCTTGGAAAACCGATCCACTATCATCAGGATTACTGTGTTACCATTTGAAGGGGGTAATTCAACAATAAAATCCATGGACAGGTTAGACCAAGGTCTCTCGGGAACGGGTAACGGATGCAACAGCCCACAAGGAACTCTACGGGAGGATTTCATACAGGCACAAGTAGTACAAGCACTTATATAGTCAGTGACATCCTTTCGTAAGGAATCCCACCAAAAATACCGAGAAACAGCTGACACCGTTTTGGAAATACCAGGATGTCCAGCAGTCTTAGTATCATGATATAATGACATAATATCCCGTCTCTCGGAACATCAACGAACAGTTTATCATTAGGCCTCTCGCTAGGTGCCATGCTTTGTTTCGCTTGTATGGCCTGCAAGAGGGACGAGGAAATAGACAAAATAGTAGTAGCTATTATCCTGTCTGGGGGAATGACAGGAGTAACATCAATCTCCTGTTTGTCAGTAGTTTCGAACTGTCTGGACAGAGCGTCTGCTTTAGTGTTGCGATCACCTGGCCTATAGGTGATAATATAATTAAAACGAGATAAAAACAGTGACCACCTAGCCTGCCTGGAAGACAATCTTTTAGCTTCGCTAAGGTAGGATAGGTTCTTGTGATCCGTAAAAATGAGGATAGGATCCTTAGTTCCTTCTAACAAATGTCTCCACTCTTTAAGTGCTAAAATAATAGCAAGGAGTTCGCGATTACCCACATCATAATTTTTCTCTGCTTTGGACATTTGTTTAGAAAAGAAGCCGCATGGATGCAATGGCTTTTCAGGCGACTCTCTTTGGGATAAGACAGCACCTACCCCAATATCCGAAGCATCAACTTCAAGAATATAGGGCAGTGAGGGGACAGGATGCTGTAAAATAGGTGCAGAGGCGAACGTAGTTTTAAGAAATTCAAAAGCCTGAAGTGCCTCGGTAGACCAAACACGAGTATTGCCATCCTTTTTAGTCATACGGGTAATAGGTGCTACAATGGACGAGAAACCTTTGATAAAACGTCTATAATAATTGGAGAACCCAAGAAAACGCTGAATAGCTTTAGACCTTGCGGTATTGGCCATTCTATTACAGCAGCAAGCTTCTGGGGATCCATACGAAAACCTTTAGCGGAAATCAAATACCCCAAAAACTGGACTTCGGGTTGGTCAAACAGACATTTTTCTAGCTTGCAATAAAGACCATTAGCAAGAAGGGTCTTCAAAACTGTCATAACATGTCTGTGATGAGTGTGTATATCTGTAGAATATATTAAAATGTCGTCCAAGTATACGATAACAAATGTGTGAATAAAATCTCTTAAGACATCATTAATAAATTCTTGGAATACTCCTGGGGCATTGCAAAGCCCAAATGGCATAACAGTATATTCGTAATGACCGGATCTAGTGTTGAATGCAGTCTTCCATTCGTGACTTTCCTTTATACGTATCAAATTGTATGCACTCCTAAGGTCTAATTTAGTGAACACAGTGGCATGTTTCAGCCTGTCAAATAATTCTGTAATTAAAGGTATAGGGTATGCATTTTTGATAGTGATTTTGTTTAGACCTCTATAATCATACACGGTCTTAAATCACCTTCTTTCTTCGATACAAAGAAGAACCCTGCTCCAGCTGGAGAAGAGGATCTCCTAATAAACCCCTTTTCTAGTGATTCCTTAATATACTCCTCCATGACACGGTTTTCTTGAACCGATAAGGGGTACATCCTGCCCTTTGGAGGTATAGTGCCAGGCAACAAGTCAATAGCACAATCATAGGGTCTGTGAGGCGGTAATTTCTCAGCCTCCCTTTTATCGAAAACAGTCTTTAGAGATAAATACTGAGGGGGTATAGCCGTAGACAAAGGAGGACTGGTAGGTACCTTAATAGAATTCAAAGGTGTGACTTCAATCGTACAAGACTTGTGGCAGGCCTCACTCCATGATTTTATTTGCCCTGTCTCCCAGTCAAAAATGGGATTGTGAGCACGTAACCATGGATACCCTAATACTAACTGTGAAGAGGGAGAGGTGATGACCTGGAATCGAATGGTTTCATAGTGTAAAAACCCTGTGTACATGTGTAATGGTACAGTCTCATGAGTAACAACTGGAGAACTTAATGGTCTACCATCTATGGCCTCAACGGCCAAGGGTATCTCCTTCTCTCTGATAGGAATGTTGTTTCTCTTTATAAAGCCAGAGTCTATAAAATTTTCAGCTGCCCCAGAGTCAACCAGAGCATATATGTTGTCAACTATACAAATCTCTCCCATATATAAAGAAACCGGGAGAAGCAAGCGGTTGGGAGGCAATTTAGGAGACTTAGATATCACACCCAAGGCCAGTCCCCTATAAGGTGCGAGAGTTTTCCGGGAGTAAAGGACATTCCTTTACCATATGGTCTCTCCTACCACAGTATAGGCAGAGTCCCTCCCTTCTCCTATGTAATTTCTCAGTATCAGAGAGTTTGGCAACCCCTAATTGCATAGGTTCCTCCTCAGACACTTTAACACTCTCTGGTATATTAACTCTGGGGTTAATGGGTGTAACAAAACGTCTATTCCTGTTCTTGGTATAGAGCCTGTCACGAATTCTATTATCTATATCAATGAGGTAATCAATAAGGTCCTCTAAGGCAATAGGAAGCTCCTTAGCTGCTACCTCATCCAATATCGTATCTGATAAACCTTCCATGAAGGCAGTAGTTAACCCATTGTTGGTCCAATCTACCTGCGAAGCAAGAGTGCGAAACTTAATAGCATACTCAGCCACAGATCTAGAACCCTGTTTAATTCTCATTAATGCTCTCGCGGCATTCTTTGACCTTTTCATTGTGTCAAAAGTTCTACGAAAAGCCGTAAGAAAACTGTTGAAATCATGTACCATAGGTCCATTAGCTTCCCAAATAGGATTTGCCCACTCAAGTGTCTTATCGGTAAGTTGGTGCATAAAGAACCCAACCTTAGACCTCTCTGTGGGAAATGAACGTGGATACATTTCGAAGTGGAATTCAATTTGATTAATAAACCCTCTGCAAGTCTTAGAGTCCCCTCCATACCTAGGAGGAGGTGTTAAATGGGCCGAAGTATTAGGCAAAGTAGATACTTCAGGGAGAAGGGGCGTAGGAGGGTTAGGTGTGGTTGCTGGAACGGTTCTAGCTAGGAGCGTCTGGAGAGCCTGGGCTATCTGATCCATACGGTGATCCTGCTCTACAAATCTTGCCTCATGGGACGCCATCTGTTGAGCTAAATCTGCGGGGTCCATGGCCCTATCGTAATGTAACGAGAATATACCCCTACACGCAGGATCCAGCTAAACAGAAGCCAATACAGAGGAGAGATACGTCTACCGGACCTTAGAATGGCCGGACTTGACGTATATGAGAGGAGACAGAGCCAGGAACAAACCGAGGTCAAGGGCACAGAGAGACAGCGTAAACTAGGACAAGCCGGGGTCTGGTACACGGAAAACAGCAAGCCGGCAAACAGTACAGATAAGGATAAAGCGAAAACGAAGTCAGAATACGAAGCCAAAGTCAATACGAGAAAACACAACTGAACACCACAAGCGCTAAAGGGAACTGAAACAGAAACCACGATAGGGCAACGAGCTAAGGAAAAAAGGTAAGTTTAAATAGCTTTTAAACGAAAGTGATTGGCTCCTGTCACTTCCACACCCCCAAAAGGTAATTGTATAGGGAGTGTGGTATGACAGGAGCCAATGGGAGCCTTTTGGCAATTAGGCTCCCACTGTCTCTTTAAGAGCGCGCCCGAGACTCGCGAAGCGCTCTTAGTTTCAGGCGGGACACGTGACCGCTTCACGCGGTCACTTCCCGCCTTCCATCTAAAGCAGTCGGATGAGCCGCGCGCGGCTCGTGCAGCCGCAGGACCGCGCGTGGCTTGAAGAGAGGACCGCGACCGGCCCCCGGTTGAGGTAAGTAACGCTACAAAGGCAAAGGAAAGGTTTTTTTACTGTAAGAACAATCAGGATGTGGAATTCTCTGCCTGAGGAAGTGGTTTTATCAGAGTCCATACAGATGTTCAAACGGCTACTAGATGCATACTTGCAAGAACAGAATGTGACAGACCCATCTGTCTGGATTACAAATGCTTTGTTCGCCTGTTTTGCCGGTTACATGAATTTCCCCATTCGTATGCTTTATTCAAGGGAATGTCGGTTTTGTCGAACGAAACTACCGAACGGACGGCCACCCAGAAGAGAAGTGTGCTGCTGGTTAACCTATTGATCCCAATTAGAACGTTGCGGTTAACCACAGACACTTCTCAATTAAAAACCGAATGCCGGGTGGTCGTCGTTCGTATGTCGACCACGAGGCGGCGGCCATTTTGTCCATGCGAACGACCAGCGGTGTTCAACGATTATTTCATGGATCGGAAAACGGACACTTTTTCAGCCGAACACCGCTGAAGCCGTCGACCTCCCCTTCTCAATCGACAAAAGCATACGAATGACAGCCGTTCGGGAGATTCAACCACACGAATGGACTTAACCCAGATAGCCGTCCCATGGAGTCAATCGCATACCGAAGAACTGAAAGAGACTTTGACTCCATGGTGATTGAACTGTGCGAATGGGATCTGAGTGCTATTCTCCAATAATGTGCACTCAGATCCAGGCTATCTGGGGATACGTAATACGAATGTAATATGTTCGGCAGTTATGAAGTTATGGATTTTCATGTGTTTTTGTGACTTGTGTTTAAAATGGCGATTGCCTCTGCTCAGGGAGATAATTGAGTTACTTCCCAATTATCCCCCGAGCAGAGGGGAGGGAACTGTACTGCATGCTGGGAATATTGTGGGGATGTATGTCCAAAATGTCCCCATGTCCTTCTGTGATTTCAGTCTCCCATTTGGTCCCCTAGGGGAGTATCCACCAAGTGGGAGACCTGCATAAATACCGGGCAGGTAGCCCACAGTAAATCAGTTCGTGTTTTACCCTCAAAGCGGAGCTTGGTCTCGTTATTGGGGGGATTTGGTTACCAGCGACTAGAGACTGCTTATTTGGATTATTTGCCGCTTGGGAGATATTGACGTTCGGTTACTATTTGCCGTTCGTGGATTTGCAGCTCGTGAAGGGAATTAGCCGTACAGGTACCGTTCGGGAGTTTGGAGTGTTCCCTGGCTGGCGGTTCGCATGGTTTTACTATACCCGCTACCCGACCACATTATTGCGAACGGGGAATACTCGCTAAACGGCGGTTTGTACATTTCATTACTGGAGGTACCGTAACACAGAATATTCAAGGATATAATCTTTCAATGTAGGGTAATAACTGCTTGATCCAAGGATTAATCTGACTGCCATTCTGGGGTCAAGAAGGAATTTTTTTCCTAGCTTGTTGCAAAATTGTGCTTCAAACTGGGTTTTTTTGCCTTCTTTTGGATCAACAGCAAAAAACAAATGTGAGGTAGGCTGAACTTGATGGACGCAAGTCTCTTTTCAGCTATGTAACTATGTAACTATGTAACCGGGGAGAAAGTCTGAAGGGTAGGGAAGGCATGATTTATGTGTGGTTGAGAAAGAGAACGGCATGGAGGGGAAAATTGTTTCCTTAGCTGTTCAATCTTGTTGGTAAAGTAGCATGCAAAGCTATCAGCTGTAAGGTTAGTTTGATGGGTGGCCGCAGCAGTGCGCAGAAGTGAGTTAAAGGTGTCAAAGACGTCTGGGATTGCGGCAGCATGAACTAATGAGAGAGGAAAAGTATGACTGTTTGGCGAGGGCAAGGGCTGCGCTGTATGAACGCAACATGAATCTATAACAGAGAAAGTCTGCCTGGGTGCGGGACTTCCTCCAGGAGCGGTTGACCCGCAGGGTGAGCCACTGTTTGACCCCGACACCTTACAACACCCGAGATCCTCGGAGTGGTATCCCCTAGAACATATTGCGAAATATATCACTGCTCGTATTAGAAAACCACTTGACAAGGTGGCATGAGGCAAACTCCGGGCAGAATGCCCACGCCCCACTATTCCTGATATGGCATGCGCCACCCCTGACATAGACCCAAAAATCGCCCAATTCTTGAGGAAATCAGGTTGGAAGGCCAAGAAGGGCCTGGATTTTGCCTGGCGGAATTGCCAGGATAAGGTCCTGGATGTCCTAGGGTCAATTGCGAAAATGTTCGACATGGTCGAAATCGCACAAGCAGATGGTACACCGGTGGATTTAGAAGCTCTCAGGGGGTGGATCCAGCGATCCGTATGTCTACTGGGCAACGCCAATACGGTGGTAGCCACTGAAAGGCGCAAGGCAATCCTGATTAAAATAGAACCTAAGTGTCACATATTCATCCGCTTATAAAAATAAGGTTAATGGCATTTACTGTCCACACATGAAAAGTTGTGCTGAGCAGCAACCAAATCCACAGAAGAGTTAATGCTGAGCAGCAATTATGCAAATGGGAACCTGGTAACTGCCTTTGCGGTCAAAGGCCGGTTACAGCCTATCAGATCTAGAGGAGGGGTATTTAGGCCCAGGTTCGCAGGCCCGTATTATGAGTGGACTCGCAGGTCCTTCGTCGTATAATTGTTCCGTGGGTATAGTCTTTTGTTTGATTATCTTCTCGAATTATTTAACCATGTGTCTTGCTCATCGTCAGTTACGCTTTATCTATAACAGTTTTATACAGTTACATGTTCAATTGGGCTCGCAGGCCCGCATTGTCGTCGGACTCGCAGGTCCCTTGCGGTTGGTGCGTGTGCGTGTATATCCCTGTTGCGTATGCCTGTCTGTAGGAAGGTCGTGTGACAGCCTGGTTCCTGTGGTCTGCGTCTCTTGTACCTACCCCTCTTTGTATTGCCCTGTCTAGTTTATGTATTCTTCGTCTGCGTGTCTGGTCCTCCCGTGTCTGTTTTGGTGTTTTGTGGGCCCCCTAGTACTAGTAAGCCATTGTTACGGGAGGTATCACCTTCCCCTCTCCTCTCTGGTTTTGTGGCATCCTATAACTAACTGCGTGGTGGTGTTAATGTCAAGTTAGTGAATTCCGGGTCGGTTGTCTTCAGGATCCAATGTGTCCAAGTGTTGATGTACACTTGGAATGTGTCGTTAGCTTTGTGGTGAAGTTCCTCTAGGGATCTCAATTCCTCCATTTGTGTGAACCAGACTCTCGGGGGGGGGGGGACAACCTGTTGTTTCTAATACTGTGGTATTATTAATTTAGCCGTGTTCAGGATGCAGATTGCGAGCAATTTCTTACACGCTGTTCTAGGGGTTTTAGTGTGGTGTAAGAGCATGGCTGCTGGGCTGAACGGAAATGGGTCGTCTGTGAACTTTGCCAGTATTTGATGGATATCTGACCAGAATGGGGCTATCTTTTTGCACTCCCACCAAATGTGTAAGAGTGTGCCTCTGTCCTCCCCGCATCTCCAACACTGGGGGGGGGGGTGGGATGGGATTTGGGCATGTAACGTCTCAGGGGTGTGGTACCATTTATATGCCATTTCCTGTGTCCTGCTGAAGCTAGAGCAGTGATGTGTTAGATAGCAAATTTTCTCCCATTCCGCCTTGTCTAAGACCTGGCCCAGTGCCGCCTCCCACTTCCCCATGAACCGTGGTTGGGCAATTGGTGTGAGTGTTATTAGTAGGGTGTACAGTACAGATACTCCGTGTGCTAGTGGGTTGGGGTCCAGGCATAGATTCTCGAAAGGGGTAGTGGCCCTATGTAGTACCGGTCCCTGTGGGAGGGAAGTAATGTAACTCAGAATCTGTTTGTATTTGAGGTGCATCAGAAAAGTTTGTTCTGTGTTTCCCCTTAGATCTTTGAGTGTCTTAATGCCTTCGGTGGTGTGTATGTGTCTGAGTCTGGGTAATGGGTCCTGTATTAGGTCTTTGAACTCTTTCGGGTCCATTCCCGGCGGGAACTCTGGGTTGTGTATCAGGGGTAATAGTGGTGTTGGGTATGAGGCTAGGCAGTGTCTCCCTTTTGAGCAGTTCCATTCTCGTAAGGTCGCTCTCGTGTAAGGGGACTGATTCTCGTCACTCGTCTGGACCCCAGGTGGTAGCCACGGTAGAACTGCGACAGGGACGCCCGCCTCGTGTTCCTCTACCTGCTTCCACTGTTTTTGTGTTCCTGTTTTGGTCCATTCCATCATTCTCATAAGATGGCAGGCCCAATAGTAGAGGTTGAAGTCTGGCAATGCCAGTCCTCCCCTGTCTTTTGGTTGTGTAAGTAGTGTGTGGCATAGTCTGGGCTTTTTCCCGTTCCAGACATATTTTGTTAGAGCCGTGCGTAGCATAGTGAAGTACGCTCTGGGGACCGTTATGGGTATAGTCTGGAATAAGTAGAGAAGGCGCGTTCTGCATTCTGGGACGTTAATGTTAAGTATAAATGATTTGGTGAGGTTTATTTTAAAATTGGAGAGTCTACCGAAGTCCTGAAATGCTTTCAGTATATTGGGGAGAGATATTTCTGGATTAGTTACGTAAAACAATAAGTCATCAGCATATGCTGCTATCTTATGGTGTGTCGTCCCCGTCTGCAGCCCCGTGATATCCGGGTTGTTCCTGATGGCCACCAGCAGGGGCTCCAGGGCAAGGACGAAAAGGATCGGGGACAAGGGGCATCCCTGGCGTGTGCCATTTTGTATGTCAAACGGCTCCGTCAAGGCTCCGTTGATGACCACCTGCGCGGAAGGTTGCTGGTATAGCGCCTCTATCCATCCCCTGATACCAAGGCCCAGACCGAGGTGAGTCAGGGTCTGGAAAAGGTATTTCCATCCGACCCTGTCAAAAGCCTTCTCCGCATCCATGGATAGCAGGAGAAGGCCTTCCGTGGCTTGCCGTCTCCCGTGCATCAGTGTGAGGGTGCGTATAGTGTTATCGCGTGCCTCTCTCCCCATCACAAACCCCACCTGATCAGGATGTACCAGGTTGGGCACGTGCGTCTGCAGTCTGGTCGCCAGGATTTTGGCTAATAATTTTAGGTCGCTATTTATGAGCGAAATGGAGCAGTAATTTCCGCACTGCTCCTTATCCCTTCCCTCCTTAGGGAGTACTGTGATGTGCGCTGCCTGGGATTGCCTAGGGAAGTGGTGTCCTTCTTTGATGGCGTTGAATGTCAGTGTGAATGGGGTGTATAGTATATCTGCGTATGCCTTATAATAGCAGAGCGGCAGGCCTTCCGGGCCCGGGCTTCTGCCGGGTTTTGTTTGTTTCACAGCTGCAGCTAGTTCCTCCTGCGTTATCTCCCTGTCTAGGAGCTCCGCGGTTTCCCTGTCTAGGGCGGGTATCGAGTGGGCGCTGAGATATTCTGTGATGGAGTCTGTTAGGCGTAGGTCCGCCCGAGGAGTCTGTGGCCTTGGGAGAGAATATAAGTTTGCATAGTATGCCCTTATGACTTCCTGTATCTTCCGGGGTAGTTTGTGTAGTGTATTTGTGCCGTCCCTGATGCGATCAATGTATGTCTGTTGCCGACGTTTGGTCAGCATGCGCGCCAGCAGCCTGCCGCTCTTAATGCCGTGCAAGGCAAAGAACGCCTTATGTCGCAGCGCGTCTCTGTGGTACCTCGACTGGAGTAGTTTGGTGAGATCTCTGCACAATGTGAGCAGTTGTCCCCGTAGTTCAGGTGTCTAATTCCCTTATTTTCGTCAGTGTGTTGTTCACGGCCGCCTCCCTATGTTTTTTCATGTTTGCACTCTTTTGTAGGAAATGACCTCTGATCACGCTCTTATGTGCCTCCAACATGATCGTTGGGAGGTGTGGTCCGGTGTATTTATGGAGAAATATTCTCGGAGGATTGCTCCGATGTCAGTTTTTACCTCTGGTACTGAGAGTAGATATTCGTTTAGTCACCACTTGGCAACTTTTGGTCTATAGAGTGGGGACATTAGTGTGAGTGTTACGGGAGCGTGGTCTGACCATGTTGCTGTGCCATGCTCCACCTGTAGAGCGAGTGGTAGATGATGGTGCGTGAGTAGGAAGTAATCTATTCTGGTATATGAGTTGTGCGGATGTGAGAAGAACGTATAGTCCCTCTCGTCTGGGTGGTGTGCTCTCCAGCTGTCCACCAGTTTGTATTTGGATATGAGGGTTTTGAGTGCAGTCAAGTGTTGTGCTGGAATGTGAGAGTTGCCTGTTGATGTGTCCCATTTCGGGTCCAGTGCTAGGTTAAGGTCCCCTCCCACCACCAGGATGACCTCCGCGAATTCCTGTACCTTACGAAGGATTCCTGAAAGGAATCTATGGTGTCTCTGGTTGGGGGCGTATATATTGGCAAATGTGTTCATCTGCCCCGCTATCGTGCCTTTGACAAGGACATATCTGCCCTCCCGGTGTCTGTAGTCTCTGCTCCTGAAAGGGTGTACCCCTATGTATTAGTATCGCCGTTCCCCGTGCCTTCCACCCCTGGTAATCACTGTAATAACCTGTGGGATAGTAGTGATTATGCAGCTTCGGTCTTGCCCCCTCCTTAAAGTGTGTCTCTTGAATGTATACTATAAAGGCCCTAGCAGCTTGAAATTCTTTGAGAGCTGTCGACCGCTTTTTGGGTTTGTTCAGTCCCCTTGCGTTTATAGTAACTATCGTGAGGTTAGCTGGTATTAGCGTCATGTTTAGTAAATGTCTGCAGGTCCTAGACCCAGGTTGTCACAGGGTTGGGGCTAAGTTTTGTCAAAAGTGTGCGTAGGGATGTGTTCTTGGGTGTCCGCCGCCCGGGCGGCGTTAAGGTATCAGCGTCTAGGTGGCCGTGTAGACCGCCCTTGTATCTTCGGTGTCTCCCACCTAACTTTGGCGCTTATCCCTTATGGGGGTGGAAGGAATGCCCAGGCCTTTGGTCTGGTCTATTCATGCGTGGATGTACTGGGTGAATCGTCCTGTGGTTCCTTCCCTGGTTGTACCTTGGACTTGTATCTATATCCTGCGTCTTGCCCTGTGTGACTCCACTTGTGGATATGCGTTTAGTGTGCGCCTTCACCTAGAATGTGTGTGGCATCGTTACATCTATGAAAACGTGAATGGTGCAACCGTGTGTTCAACTGAGAACCGAACTTCAAAGAGAAAAAATATCTATATATATATGTAGGCATACCCGGTTTGTTATCATTGCCTCGTGACGTGGTTGCCTTACTGCCCTCCCCTGAAGTGCTGTATTGCAATTTGTAATCCGTTAAGCCCCTATGAGTGCTTAGAGCTATGTGTGGCTTCCCACCCAGGTCCTCTTCACCTAGCCTCCCGTCCCGTGGTTTTGCCTCATTCCCCTCCCCCCCATGCTCATGTGTATGCTTGGCAGGTCCCCCCATGGCCCACTCCCTGACTGTGCCCGTTACCTCTGCCTCATCCTGGATGTCTGGGCGAGACGGACCCCCGCACCCCTGCCTGCTCCAGATGTGGTCATCACTGGTCTATCATGGGGGGCACGGTGATCCATGTCGGCTGTCCTCCATCCACATATACCCCTCACCAGCGCTTACCCTGTGCCTTGCGAGAGGCTTTGGTCTGTTGCCTCCCCCCCCAACAAGTCCTTCTTAACATATAATCGTCCTTATTGGTAGGCTGCGTGTGATTAGTCTCTCGGACCAAGCGGTCCCCGGAGTATTATACTTGCGTGTACTCCGTGAGCTTGTGTTAGTCCTCGTGTTCCTGGGACGGGCTCCGCTAAATGATCCTCGGTGGGTGAGGAAGGTGTCTCTTTGAGGCTTGGCTGGGTACTTATAATTCCCTTTTCTCCACTCAGAGGCCCCTTGGGCCGATCGCCTGTTGGCGGGAGGTCCGCGGGATCTGGGTGTCTGCTGTACGAGTCCCCGGTCCTGGAACAGGTGTGTATAGGGACAGGGGATCCTGCCACTGCAGCGGAGCCGGGGTGATTTGCAGCTCCCTCCCGAGAGCGGCCATATCAGCCTCTGTCTTCACTAGGTATGAGCCTTTGGGTGTATGGACCAGCAGCCCTGTCGGGAAGCACCAGTGGTACTTAATTCTGTTCGCCTGCAGCTGTCTGGTGAACGGGCGCAGGGCCTGTCGGTACGCCAAGGTTGCGGGAGAGAGATCCGGGTATAGTTGGATCTCGGTAGTGCCCAGGTGCACCTTACCCTCCTCTCTCGCCCTCCTCAGTATTTCTTCCTTCTGCTGGAAATTTGCCAAACCGCAATTGGCGTCTCTTGGTTGACTACCCGGGGGGCCCTGCGGTCTGAGGGCCCGGTGTGCTCTCACCAACTCCAGTGGCTCTCGCGGTGCGCGGCCCTGCAACTGGTTAAAAACCTTTTGTAGAGTAGTCTGTATCGGGGAGTCTTCATCTACTTCCTCCGGGATCCCTCTGACCCTGATGTTCTGCCTCCTCCCCCTGTTGTCGAGGTCCTCTAAGTGATGTGCCATCTGTTGCATCTGCTGGGTGGCCCGCCTCAGGATCCCAGTGTTGGCGGACTGCGCCGCTTGCATGTGGTCGTTGTTCGTCTCGAGTTGGGAGATCCTCTGGCTTAGGCCGCAGCATTCCTCCCGCATGGCCTGCAGTTCTTCCGTGATGGAGGTGCGGAGGCTGTTGTTTGCCTGCAGTAAGTCTGCTTTGGTAGGCAGGTTACGGAGGATGTGTATTAATTCCGGGTGTGAGTCGGTGGGGTATAGTGTAGGTGTCTCGGCCAGGGCTTACACAATTCCTCGCCACACAGGGAGGGCGATGCTCCCCCGCCCGAGGCCGTCGAGTCATCTGAGGCCTGTGCCTCCCGGTCCGCCGGTGTCGCGAAGAAGCGCTGCATGGACAGGGTTGCGCTCCCCCTCGGGGTGTTCGTGGGCTTTGGGGTTTGTGATGCCCGTTGTGATTTGCCCATTTTCAGGGCAATTAGGTGCTGTAGGCGATATTGTGCTTGGAGCCTTGCAGGGAGCTCAGACTTCACGCTGCCATCTTCCTTGGCTTCTAAGCCACGCCCCGGCTTTTCCTTATCATTGTGTCTCTTTCTGTATCCCTTGACCTCAGCTATTCCTGACTATTCTTTGGTACATTAGTCTAGCCATTCTAAGGTCCGGTATACGTTACCTATCAGTCCTCTGTATTACACAATTTTACGTACTGGATCATTCTGTAATCCTGACATTACGACAGGGCCATAGATCCTGTAGAATTGTGTAAGCACATAGCTGCTTGTGAAAGGAAACTGGAGGATAATGATCACCGCATGGATCAATTTGCCCAGGCCTTCAGTACGCTTCTTACCCGAACAGCGCATCTGCAACCTGCGGCCTCACCTCCACCTTGTGTACCTCCAGCTATAGTACACACAGCACCTAAGGGAGCAGTCTATGCTCTATCTCCTCAGGAGAGTAGTGTAATGGAGGAATATATAAAAGATTCATTGAATAAAGGCCATATACGAAAATCATCCTCACCTGCTGGTGCAGGATTCATTTTTGTATCTAAAAAGGATGGTGAGTTGTGCCCATGTATCGATTACAGGGCATTGAACAAAATCACCATTAAGAACGCCTACCCCATTCCTCTTATTGCTGAATTATTTGACAGACTCCAGGCGCTAAAGTGTTTACTAAGCTTGACCTTAGAAGAGCTTACAATTTAGTGAGAATCAAGCATAACCACGAATGGAAGACTGCATTTAATATCAGAAGTGGACACTATGAATATCTAGTGATGCCATTCGGGTTGTGCAATGCTCCAGAGGTTTTCCAAGATTTCATTAACAATGTACTCAGGGATTACATTTACTCGTTTGTCTTGGTCTATCTGGATGATATCCTTATTTATTCTCCTGACCTCCAGTCTCACCACGATCACGTTAAACAAGTTCTGCAAACCTTATTTAAAAAACAACTTTATTGTAAATTGGAAAAATGTATCTTTGACCAGTCTGAAGTACAGTTTTTAGGATATAATATTTCTGCCTCGGGGTTTCAGATGGATTCTAAAAAAATAGAGTCTGTTCTACAGTGGCCTTTACCCACTGCGTTGAAAGCCATTCAAAGGTTCATTGGTTTCGCCAATTATTACAGAAGATTTATAAAGGGATTTTCTTCAGTAATAGCCCCCATCACCAATATGACACGCAAGGGGGCTAGTAGTACGATATGATCTAAGGAGCCAATTGAAGCCAGAGGGAGAGCCAGGAAACTCTGTTACATCCTTGTGGTTACTCTTCTAGAAAGTTGTCTCCTGCTGAGCGCAATTATGATATTGGCAATAGAGAATTGTTGGCCATTATTCTAGCTCTCAAGGAGTGGCGACATCTTCTAGAGGGTTCCAAGGACCCCCTTTTGATCACAAAAACCTGGCTTACATAGGAGATGCTAAGCGATTATCTTCTAGACAAGCGAGATGGTCTCTATTTCTTTCTCGCTTTAATTTTCTTATCACCTACAGACCTGGTTCTAAAAATGTCCAGGCAGTTTGATACTGAGGCTATACTAGAGCAAGATACGTCCCATATCATTCCCCCGGAATGTATCATTGCGTCCACTGTCCTTTCATTGTCCTCTCCACTGCTTGGCTCCATCATGGAGGCTCAGTCTCAGGCGCCTTGCGGTAAACCTCAGGACAAACTGTTTGTTCCATTGGGGGAAAGGGTTAATATCATGAAGGTGTTTCATGACAATGTGTCTGCTGGTCACCCAGGTATTAATAAATCCACTTCTGCTATCATGAGGTCATTCTGGTGGGATTCCCTCAGGAAGGATGTTAAGGAATATGTGCAGGCTTGTTCTGTTTGTGCGGTTTCCAAAGTGCCTCATAAACTCCCTTGTGGCTTGTTACAACCTCTTCCTATTCCTGAGGTCCCATGGTCCCACTTGTCCATGGACTTCATTGTTGAACTTCCTAGTTCTAACGGTTATACCACCATTCTCATGGTTGTAACCGTTTTTCTAAAATGGCTCATTTTATTCCTCTCAAGAAATTACCGTCATCTCAAGACCTGGTACTGATCTTTATACGTGAGATTGTCCGTCTGCATGGCATTCCTCACAATATTGTATCTGATAGAGGTTCTCAGTTTGTATCCCGGTTTTGGAGGGCTTTTAATAAGCAATTGGATTGAATTGTCTTTTTCATCCTCTTACCACCCCCAGACTGGCCGTACAGCTGAGAGGGCTAACCAGTCTTTGGAGTTATACTTGCGTTGTTTTGTTAATAGCACTCAAGACAATTGGTCCGAATTATTACCATGGGCCGAGTTTGCTAGGAACAATGCTGGTCATGATTCCTCTGGGCATAGTCCATTTTTTGTTAATAATGGCCGGCATCCTACTGTCCTACCGGCTGTTTCTTTCTGATACGGCTATTCCTGCTTTGGATGACCATCTGGCTTCCATCCGTGATACCTGGGTTAAAGTTCAATCTGCTCTGGGTACTGCTGCTGACCGTTTCAAGCATTATGCTGATACACGTCGAGGTGCCAATCGTGTTTACCAAGTGGGTGAGAGGGTTTGGTTATCTTCTCGTAACATCATGCTCAAAGTCCCTAGCATTAAATTTGCTCCTAGGTTCCTTGGACCTTTTCGTGTCCTTCGTAGGATCAATCCTGTTGCATACTCCCTGGCCCTTCCGGCCTCCTTGAAAATTCCTAATACCTTTCATGTGTGCTTGCTCAAACCTCTTGTTTGCAATAAATATACTGTTTCAAGTGTCCCTCATCCTCCCTTAGTTGTTTCTGGACAGGAAGAGTATGAGGTCTCCTCCATAATTGATTCCAGGTTTTCTCGGGACACTTTACAGTACTTGGTGGATTGGAAAGGTTATGGACCAGCTGATCGTTCTTGGGTTCCGGCATCTGATATACATGCTGGCCACAAGATTCGCTATTTTCAGGCCAAATTTCCTCTCAAGCCTGGTCCTGCCCGCCCGGTGGGCGTTCTTCAAGTGGGGGGTAATATCACGTATTCATCCGCTTATAGAAATGTGGTTAATGGCATTTACTGTCCCCACATGAAAAGTTGTGCTGAGCAGCAACCAAATCCACAGAAGGGTTAATGCTGAGCAGCAATTATGCAAATGGAAACCTGGTAAGTGCCTTTGGGGTCAAAGGTCGGTTACAGCCTATCAGATCTAGAGGAGGGGTATTTAGGCCAAGTTCTCATCCTGCTCAGTGCCCTGTCGTGGTTTCCCTTGTGGTTGTCTGAGAGCGCGTTATTGATTTTGGTTATTCTGGTTATTTGACTTTGGCATTGTTTTTGACTTCCGTGTTTTTTGGCATCCCTGACTCCTGACTTTTCCTTAACGTTGTGTCTCTTTCTGTATCCCTTGACCTCGGCTATTCCTGACTATTCTTTGGTACGTTAGTCCGGCCATTCTACGTTACCTATCAGTCCTCTGTGTTACACAATTCTACGTGCTGGATCATTCTGTAATCCTGACACTAAGCTAGTGAACCTAGCTATTTCAGAGCCTGGACCCCAGGCAAAAGCCCTCCTGTTTGGAGATCATTTTGTTAAAGAGGTAGGCACGTATGTAGGCACCTTTACAGCACTTGATAAAGCTCAAGCCAGCATGAAACGAGTGTTCCACCAGAGAGTTTTTGGCGGGGCCGGCAGATATCGGGGCCGTCTGCCCGGCCGCTCATCCCGTGGTTCAAACCGGGGCTATCTAGGCCCCATACAGTCCAGGCTTACAACACCTCAGTCCAGAACTACCACACCGTTCTTCCCAGTCTGGGGCAGACCACGGCAGTCTCGGGGACCCAGAGGTTCTTCCTATGGCCGACGACCTTATGTTAAGTCCAATGCCTCTGCATCTGGCCTCATTAACTATGGTGGGGGGCAGACTGTGTCACTTTGTCAATGCATGATGCATGCTCACTGCAGATGCCTGGATCCTTCACACTGTCCAGGGTCACTCTATAGATTTTGTACGCTACCCTGTTCAAATGCAGCACCCCAACTGCATGGTGTTCCCCACTCACGATCAATATCTGATATCGCAAGAAGTTCAGACCTTAGCCTCCAAAAGGTGCAATTTCCGCAGTTCACCCTCTCACACCAGGTTTCTTAAGCAACCTCTTCTTGGTCCCCAAAAAACGTGGAGGCGTTCGTCCAGTCATCAACCTACGACCCCAAACATGTTTGTCACATACCATCACTTCAAGATGGAAGGTATACACTCTCTCCGAGATCTCCTGCTTACAGGGGACAGGATGGTCACGCTTGACTTGAAGGACGCGTACCTCACGGTTCCAATGGCCGAAGACTGACAAAAGTTCCTACAATTCCAATGGAAAGAAACCATATGGCGATTCAAATGCCTACCTTTCGGCCTCTCATCGGCTTCACAAAGCTCATGAAACCAGTGGTCGCCCTCCTACGCAGCAGAGGAGTTTGACTCATAATATACTTGGGCAATATCCTCATAATGGCGCAGGACCCTCATCTGCTCCACGAACATTTTTCCTGGACGAGGATTCTACTAGAAAACCTGGGTTTTCTAATCAACTGGGAGAAGTCGGTCACCAAACCCTCTCAATCAAAAGAATTCCTAGGATTCACCATAGATGCTGTGAACGGAGCACTCCTACTCCCAACAGCCAAAGTCAAATCCATCAAAAAGGAAATCAGGCAGACGTTAGCACATCCTGTTCTTACCTTGAGACAACTGGCCAGGATTGTCGGCCTCCTCTCAGCGTCAATCCAAGCCATATTCCCTGGCCCTCTGCATTACAGAGCACTTCAACGACTGAAGGCCAAATACCTTTGCTTGGTATACTCGCCTCCGAGTCCTTTATAAGATCATGACTTTACGTCATGAAATTAGTAAAATCTGGTAATTCCTTGAAACAAACCTCCTAGGTACTTCCTACATCAACATTTGTAATTTTCAGCTAAAAGGCAAAACCTCTAATAAGACAGAAAGGAGTACTTGTACGGACCCATACAAATGAATGCATAATTAGATTCACTTGCACAGTGCGGCTGGTACAAAGACCATTCATTTTCACAAGATTCCCTGTGTCTTTAGAGCTCACACACCTAAAATATCAGTGAGCCACCACCATGCTTCATAGTAGGGGTGGTATTCTTTTCACACTAGGCCTTGTTAACCCCTCTCCAAACATAGCGCTTATGGTTGTGACCATAAAGTTCTATTTTGGTCTCGTCACTCCAAATTCACTCCAGAAGCTGTGTGGCATGTTAAGGTGTTGTTGGGCATATTGTAACTGGGCTTTTTTGTGGCATTGGTACAGTAAAGGCTTCTTTCTGGCAACTCCACCATGCAGCTAATTTTGTTTAAGTATCGTTGTATTGTGCTTCTTGAAACAAGTCTTTTTCCAGATCAGCCTGTATTTCTCCTGAGTTTACCTGGAGAATCCCTTTGAATCCCGAACAATATTTCTGGCAGTTGTGACTAAAATCTTTCTTGGTCTACCTGACCTGGGCTTCGTATTAACAAATCCCCGAATTTTCTTAATAAGTGATTGGATTGAACAGTACTGACAGGCATTTTCAAGGCTTTGGATATCTTTTCATATCATTTTCCATCTTTATAAAGTTCCACTACCTTGTTACACAGATCTTTTGAGACTTTTTTTCTGCTCAGTATCTAGCCTGCTCAGTGCAACCACGTGAGATCTAACAAACTAATTGGCTATTTATACACAGACACTAATTGCAATTTAAAAAGCAACACGTGTGGGAAATGAACCCTTAATCGCCAGTTTGTGTCACCTTGTGTGTCTGTAACAAGGCCTAACATGCAAGGGCATGTAAACTTTTGATCAGAGCCATTTGGGCGATTTCTGCTATCATTATGATTTAAAAAGGAGTCAAACAACTTTTTGATAATAAATGGCTTCATATGATCACTATCCTTCAATAAATAAAAAAATTTTGCATCAGTCATATTTTCTAAATCAATGCCAACATTTCTCAATTTCTGCCAGGTATGCAAACTTTTGAGCACAGCTGTATGTGTGTATGTATATATATATATATATATATATATATATATATATATATATACACAGTACAATGAAGGGGTACATTGAAGAAACTGACCTTGGGGTGCAAGGAAGGTAAATCCAGTCCTGCTCCTGCCTGTGACATAAACTGCCTTCCTACACATTTTCTGTTAAGAGAGATCTTATTTCTAAACGTACTTTATTGCAGTGTGTCTAATTTAGAATTTCTCCTGCTCTGTTAATAATCAACTAGAGCCTGCAGGAACCTTGTGTGTAATCGTAGCTTTACTCTCTACGCAATTAGTGTTTGGAAGTGGTCAAGGTGCCTGAACTATGTATGTGCAGCATTTCACTGCAGGCTAGTGTTAATTCTGTGCATATTTCTATGCACAGAGGGTCGTTCATTGGCTTAGACCAATCAACCGATAAGCTGATCAACTCGCAGCAAATGAATGATTGGCAGGATGTGCATTCAGCTTCTGCAGAAGCTGGATTTTATAAACCTGCGCACAGAGGTGACTGGGCACCAGACAGTGACTCATGAGAACATTTCCAGAGAACAGCACAGGGTAATTCTACCATCACATCCACTACAGCAGCTATAGTGGTTACAATTGGAGTAACTCTTTAAAGTTCTTTTTAACAATGCAGAAGTAAGGATTTCTATAGTAAACACAATGTACTGTAAGATCTGATTTGAAATTAAACAATTTTTTTCATGTAAAGCTGCATAAACAGAAATAAAAGTTGATTTAAAGTGGAACTGTTACTTTTCAGTATTCGTAAAGATATTTTCAAGCCTTGGTTGGAATTTCATTAAAATTCTAGCACAATCCAGAGATACCATAAGACATAGTAGGGACTACTTAGTCTTATGGTAGATCCTGAGGTAGACAAACATTGACAAAAGGCAGAACTCCACCATCAACTTTTGTCTAATCCCAGCAGCTGGCACAAATAATGGCTGTGGAATCATGCTCTTTCTATAAAGGATCCGGCAGGCTTCACTGTGGACCTCAGTGTTGTATTCTCATGCATGCGTGAGAGGACATAATTGACTTGGCAACTGGCAACTAAAGAGCTAGGAGTCGAGAGGAGGACAGCAGCCTGCAAATGTCAGTGGCCACAAGGGACATACTGAGGTAAGATAAACGCCCATGCACCCCGTGGCCTTTGAACCCTCATTGGATCTGTCAATTTCAGGGATTTTTGCAATATATGTAAAGACTCCCAAAAGTGACAGATCTGCTTTAACACCCAAACGGCAATGAGACTGCAGGGGCATGGTATATACACCAAACAGTTTAATTTAGTTAAATTTTAGTCTAAAGTTGTTTTAGTGCTTAGGATATACCTTTAAGTAACATATTTTTAACAGGTCAGGCCATGATTGAGATCTAAGTTTCAAATTTATAAGTGTGGTGTGAATCCAATTACAATTGGTTCCAGGTAGAGAATAAAATTAAAGGGACACTACAGTCACCAGGACAACTACAGCTTATTGTATTTGTTCTGGTGAGTAGAATCATTACCTTTTCAGAGAAAATGCAGTGTTTACATTACAGCCTAGTGATAACTTCACTGGCCACTCCTCAGATGGCTGTTAGAGATCCTTCCTGGGTCATGGCTGCCTAAAATGCATCCAAACATTCAGTATCTCCTCCCTCTGCATGCAGACACTGAACTTTCCTCATAGAGATTAATTGATTCAATTCATCTCTATGAGGAGATGCTGATTGGCCAGGGCTGTGGATGAATCATGCTGGCTCTGCCCCTGATCTGCCGCTTTGTCAGTCTCAGCCAATCCTATGGGGAAGGATTGTGATTGGATCAGGAAACAGGGACAAAATAAGCAGCTTCAGACTTGAATAAAAGTAAGATTTTATATCTAAATATCTAAATGTAGGGAAGCATGAGGGGCCCCGATGGTGGTTTTAACACTATAGGGTCAGGAATACATGTTTGTGTTCCTGACCCTATAGTGATCCTTTAAATCAGAGCAAGTATTGCAAACAAAGATTAACCCTTTATAGGCTGGTCTGTTTATTAACCACGTACGGACAGCATGATGGTCTTTGCCATCATGCAGTGTAGGGCTTTAATGCCTGTTGACGGCATGGACTGTCATGCAACAAAAGTACAAGCAGGAGTTAACCATGCAGGTACCAAGGATCCCCAGGTATCACGGGCACATAATGTTTAAATTGATCTGATAGCGTATGGTTCCTTCTTTCACCCAGGGCCAAATTTAGTGATCCCAGAATTACAGATAAGCTATTTGCAGCACTCAGCACTCCTTTCCTATGGGGTTTTGGGTGATGCTGGATGTCCCCATGTGACGGTAGTATATGGTATCACCGTCAAGCATTCCCTTCTTCCCATAAAAGAAAATCACCCAATACTCCACAAGAAGAAATATCCCTGGTATCGCCGAATAATCCACACATGAGCCAAAGCTTAATGCTGGAACAAGATTGATTTACTGGAAGCAACAGGCATTCAATTTAAACAGTAACAAACTCCTCCAGGCTAGATAATTGAGTTTCAGCAATACACAAAGCTCAATTATATGCTGGCCAGAAGCATTATAGTTTTTAACAATTTCAGAAAAGTACTTTTTATAATACATACAACTATAATTTTAACATCCCTGGGTAGCTGAGAATACTGGTAGTCACATATCCAAATCTCACGAATTTCCGTTCGGTAGTTTCCGTGTCGCATCGTGTAGAAGTTTGACCGGCTCGCCATGTGGGGGTATCCGAGTTAGAGTTCCATAAAATCAGTAGCAAGAGCCGGTCTCTGTTCGCGTCTAACTACACGAAAACCACCGTTCGTATGGTGCAGCTGGATACATGCGAATGCTCCCCTCGTTCGGTAGATTCTATCTACCGAATGCCAGTTTGATTCGTGGAGGGGAACGTATTCATCTAGGACTTCCATGAAGACCGGGCGTTCGCATGTTTGCCTTGCCGAAAATAGTTCCAGGCCATTCATGCGTATGCCCCGCTGACCGCATTCGTGAGACCAGAGGATTGTGATCGGTAATAAGGGTGAAGGCCCGGCCATAGAGGTAGGGGGTGAGTTTTTTGAGCGCCCAGACCAATGCCAGACACTCTGTTTCAATAGTTGCATAACTGACTTCCCTTGGCAACAGCTTTCGACTCAGGTAGGCCACCGGGTGTTCTCCTCCATCCTCTCCGATCCGGCTCAATACTGCCCCCAGTCCAAACATTGAAGCGTCTGTGTGGACAATAAATCTTTTGTTAGGATCTTGGGTAACTAACACCGGAGCCTTAACTAGAGCATTCTTTAACGCTTGGAAAGCCACCTCGCATTCCGGGGACCACAGGACTTGTTGGGTAACTTCTTCTTGGTCAAGTCTGTCAGGGGTTTGGCCAGGGTGCTATAGTCTGGTACAAAGCGTCTGTAGTAGCCGGCTGTTCCCAAGAAAGCCATGACTTGTGTCTTGGTGTGGGGAGTGGGCCAAATGGCAACGGCCTCGATCTTAGCCGGCTCCGGCCGTTGTTTACCACACCCTACTCGGTGACCCAAATATTGTACCTCCACCATACCCAAATGACACTTGTCCGGTTTCAAGGTTAACCCGGCCCCCCTGATCCTATCTAATACTATCCCTACGTGTTCCAGGTGTGCCTCCCAGGTATCGCTATAGATGGCGATATCATCTAGGTAGGCACACGCGTAGTCCTGGAGACCTCCCAACAAATGGTCCACCATCTGTTGGAAGGTGACCGGGGCGTTCTTCATCCCGAATGGCATAACCCGGAATTGGTATAGGCCGAACGGGGTGATGAAGGCTGATGTGGGTATGGCATCTTCTGCCAGGGGGATCTTCCAATATCCCTTACATAGGTCAATTGTGGTCAGATACTTCCCTACAGAGATACAGTCAAGCAGTTCGTCCATCCGGGGCATCGGATAGGCGTCGGTGACTGTCTTGTCATTGAGCCACCTGTAATCTACACAGAAGCGGGTTGTCCCGTCCTTCTTTGGTACTAAGACCACCGGTGAGGCCCAAGGACTGTTGGAGTGTTCTATTACCCCTAGTCAAAGCATTTCGTCAATTAACTTCCGCATCCCTTCTCGGACTGCTTACGGAATACGGTAGGGGGGCTGCCTCAGGGGCGCTTGCCCGGGAGTTTCTACTTTGTGGAAGGCTAGGGATGTGTACCCAGGCTCCTGGGAGAACGTGGCCTGTTTGGTTTCTAGCAAGCGGATAGCTTGTGCCCTCTCTTGGGGTTCCAGCTGTTCGCCTAGCTGAACTTTCTCTATCTGCCTCGTCCCTTCGTTACTGCCCAATAAGTCGGGAAGAGGCAGAGCTTCAGTGTCTTCCCCTGCTGGCGCACAGATAGCGGTCACCTCCTCAGCCCTCTCATGGTATGCTTTAAGCATGTTGATGTGAAAGGTTCGTTTCACATCTTCATCCTCGCAGCTGGTTATGGTGTAAGTAGTATCGCATATCTGCCCTATAACCTTATAGGGACCTTGCCAGGCGGCCTGGAGCTTGTCAGTTCGGACTGGTCTTAGCACCATGACCTTTTGCCCAATCTGAAAGCTCCGGTACCTAGCCCGTCAGTCATACCACACTTTCTGGCGCTGCTGGGCCGCATGGAGGTTTTCCTGCACAGTCTGGGCTAATTCCTCCATGCGGTCCCGCAGTTCCAGCACGTAAGGCACAACCGGGGTCCCCTCTATCTCGGTCTGCCCCTCCCACTGGTCCTTGATAAGATCTAAGGGCCCCCTCACCCGTCTCCCATAGAGTAGTTCGAAGGGTGAGAACCCGGTTGATTCCTGCGGCACCTCTCGGTATGCAAAGAGAAGGTGTGGCAGGAATCGCTCCCAATCCTTATAAGCTCCCGTGAACGACTTCAACATTTGCTTTAGTGTCCCGTGAAGCGTTCACACAGGCCATTAGTCTGGGGGTGGTATGGGGAACTAGTCAGGGATTTAACTCCGCAGACTTTCCATATCTGCTGGGTCACCTCGGCCGTGAACTGCGTACCTTGGTCGGACAGGACTTCTTTGGAAAAGCCCACTCGGGAGAATATCTTGACCAGGGCATCAGCCACTGTCTCAGCCTGGATATTAGAAAGGGCCACAGCTTCGGGATAACGGGTAGCGTAATCTACCACACTGAGAATATAACGTCTACCGGAGCTGCTAGGCTGGGCCAGGGGTCCTATGATGTCTACGGCTACCCTCGTGAACGGTTCCTCTATTATTGGCATAGAAACCAGTTTAGCTTCAAGGTGGTCTCCTTTTTTACCTATCCTTTGACACACCTCGCACGTCTGGCAATACGCCCGGACATCGTCGGATACCCCAGGCCAGAAGAAGTTCTGGGTTACCCGATATAACGTCCTGCGTATCCCCAGGTGTCCCGCTAAGGGAACATCATGCCCAATCCTTAATAACTCCTGCCGGTATTTCCGTGGAACTACCAGCTGGCGTTTTTGCCGGGGTCCGGGTGCGTTGACCCGTGTTTCGGTGAGCCTGTATAAATGGCCCTTTTCCCAGATAAACTGCTCCTTCTCTAACCCCCCGTCCTTTCCTAGCTTTCTCTCTGTACTTTCTGAGGGAAGGGTCTCCGGCTACTTCCCTCCCAAAGTCCTCTGGGGTATCCCAGGGAAGAGGTGCTACAGTCAGGGGTAGGTCGGGTTGGCTTACCTGGGTCTCTGTAGGATGCGGATGGCTCTCGGCAGCGCGACTTTGTGCTCTGGTGGTTACTGCATGGGCCTCTTGGGGGGTTGTTGAGGCAAATGCCGAAGTTAAAGGACCAATATCATTGCCCAACACGACTTCGGAAGGTAGCTCTTTCATCTCGCCCACTTGAACGTTGCCAGCTCCCACACCCCAGTCCAGATGCACTTGAGCGGTAGGAATGCGATACACTGCCCCCCCGCCACTCTCACAGCAATAGATTTCCCCGGCTTTTCCGACGCGTTGATGAGATATTGTTGCACTAGGGTGATGGTAGCGCCACTGTCTCTTAGCCCCCGTGCTGTCTTTCCGTTGACCATTACCAGCTGACAATGGTGTTTCCTATTGTCTGTTATGGTGGATTGGACCAGGAGTGCTTCATAAAGAGTGCCCAATGGTTCTTCCTGACTCAGCTCCTTGGGGTCCCAGGCAGATGGTACTGTATAGTCCACACAATGGGCTGCTGCCGGGAGTTGATGAAAACCAGGTCGAGTCCAATTAGACCTGGCGGCGGTGTCCATGGGGCAATTGTGCTTGAAGTGACCCAGTTGTTTGCAACGGAAGCAACGTAGTTCGTTGTCAGCCTGTCGTGGGTAGCGAGGGTTAGAAGCTAACGATCGGCTGGGGGGTTGGTACCTGGTCACTGGTGGGTTTGTCGGTACCGTTGGTCGCGGAGGCTGAACCCGTGTTGCGACCCGTGTGGTCTTGCGAGTATTCCATACTCATCTGCTGACTTGGCGGCCTCTGGTAGAGACAGGGGTCTGCGGTCTCTCACCCAGTCTTTAACATCTGCCTGGATATGGTCGTAGAACTGTTCCAGGAGTATTAGTTGTAAAATATCATCCGCGGTGTTGGCTTGGTTACTGTTGACCCAGTTAGATGCCGACAGGTATAACTGGCAGGCCCATTCCGCATAGGAATCCTTGTCCGTTTATGTGAGTCTCTGAACTTTTGTCTGTATGATTCCGGGGTTACCACATAACGAGCCAGGAGCGCTTCTTTAACCCTGGCGTAGCTGTGCATCTCCTGTTCTGGTACGGCCCGGAAAGCATCAGCGGCTTTGCCTGACAACTTTCCTGCCAATATCGAAACCCATTCGTCCGCAGCTACTCGGTGTAGGTTACAATGTCGCTCAAAATCTGCTAAATAATTGTCAATCTCGCAGTCCTTCTCATTGAAAGCTTTAAAAGCGCTAAAAGGAATTTTCCTTGTGTCTGCTATGCTGTACTCACTGCTTGGGGAGTTTGCTGCTGCCCGCTGGACCTCTGTCAATTTCAGTCACAGCTTTGTTTCTCTCTTTTGTTTAGCCTCTTCTGCTATAATGTTCATTACTTTTAGAACAATGTCAGCCGTCGGGTTCGGACCGAACCATGCTAGTCTCTCCCGCATCTCCTTGTTGGTTGGTGATTCATCCTCCCGAATCACCGTTGTCTCCATCTCCTGAACAGTCGGCGTTGCTGCAACCAAGTTCTCTCGGTCTAGCTCCATTAACTCAGCAATAATGACCCGCTTGGTTTTGTTGCTAGCAATCCTTCCACGAACTTCCAGTAGTTCTTTTAGCGTGTTTCTTTTAAGCAGGGTGTACCAGCCTTCCATTCATTCCCAGTGTCTGCTTGGAATCTTGGTGCAAGGGAAAACAGAAGGGAAAATCCCACCTCTGCCATCAGTTGTGACGGTAGTATATGGTATCACCGTCAAGCATTCCCTTCTTCCCATAAAAGAAAATCACCCAATACTCCACAAGAAGAAATATCCCTGGTATCGCCGAATAATCCACACCTGAGCCAAAGCTTAATGCTGGAACAAGACTGATTTACTGGAAGCAACAGGCATTCAATTTAAACAGTAACAAACTCCTCCTCTGGGCCAGGTTAGATAATTGAGTTTCAGCAATACACAAAGCTCAATTATCTGCTGGCCAGAAACATTATAATTTTTAACAATTTCAGAAAAGTACTTTTTATACTACATACAACTATAATTTTTAACATCCCTAGGTAGCTGAGGATACTTGTAGTCACATATCCAAATCTCACGAATTTCCGTTTGGTAGTTCCATAAAATCAGTAGCAAGAGCCGGTCTCTGGTCGCGTCTAACTACACGAAAACCACAGTTTGTATGGTGCAGCTGGATACATGCGAATGCTCCCCTCGTTCAGTAGATTCTATCTATCGAATGCCAGTTTGATTCGTGGAGGGAAACGTATTCATCCAGGACTTCCATGAAGACCGGGCGTTTGCATGTTTGCCTTGCCGAAAATAGTTCCAGGCCATTCATGCATACACCCCGCTGACCGCATTCGTGAGTTTTAAGATGGCCGCCATCCTTTGTTCTCGCCACGGCCACCTAGGAGCAATTAAGTTGCGGTTTTCTCCCCGTTCTAATGCTGATTGCTACCCAGGGTAGCTGGTCTCTCGTTCGGTAGACGAATACAATTATTCAATACATACTTAAACAACCTATTACAAGTATTTGAACAGCAGGGAGAAGGTACAACTGAAGGCATACACGTAAGTACATGAAATCTTTCACACCCCATACATAGTTAGGAGGCCCGGAAGTGCCTCTAGTGGCTGTCTGGTAGGCAGCCACTAGAGATGGAGTTAACCCTAGTAGGTAATTATTGCAGTTTATTAAAAATTACGAATAATTACCTTTCCAGGGTTAAAGGACCTGCTACACTGCGCCCAGACCACTTCTGTGAGATGAAGTGAGATGAAGTGGTCTGGGTGCCTGTAGTGTCCCATTATAGTTAAATTTTGGTGATAAAAGTGCTTTATGTTTGGTCAGCGTCAACTTCCCCTCCTCACTTTTCTATTTTGTGACTATGTAGGAGGCACTATCCATACACTATAGCTAATAATCACTTTTGAATTAAGCACTTACAATAATAGTTTACAGGACTATATTCAGCTCTGTAAATTTACTTCTTTCATCCAGAAATTTTATATATTTATTTTTTACTTGTGTTTCCACAGCAAGAAGTTGTTATGCCTCCAGAAAAAAATGGTGGATGTGGCAACCCAGCCTACTGATATCACAGAACTGCGTGGTAACTAAACAACCAACAGGCCTCCACAACTACGCAACATCAATCTGTCAATCATCCATCCTCCCAGCCAATCATCGCTCGCTTTTTTTTATTTTTATTGGCCGTACCCATGAACAAAACAACGTATCAGGTGCTGTTGTCAGACGCTTCTAACTGGTTCACACATTCGTTGAAACGTCCTTCCATGCAGTTTGTATAAAAAACTGTTTGTGAATGGTCGCTCGCTACGTCAATCAGATTAAGGTCGCAACATTCTTACTGATGATTGGCTACTCTTCCAATCCATCACTTGGAAGGGCTTTCGTTCATTGGTCGTTAGCTACGTCACTCAGAGAAGGACAGTGAACGATTGGCTGGCGGTCAGCGGACTCTGTGGGAGGTGAGAGAAGCTGAGTTCGGTGCGGTCCCCGGTAAGGGGTGATGTCGTCATAAGGTACGGCTGAGTGGGGTTATCTTCCGGTACCGCGATGGAAGAGGGGGTGAATATGAGTCTTTTTTTTGTCTATGCTAGGGGGTGGGATGAAGCTGATTCCAGCCCTCTTCCGGGGAGTGGGCGGGGTCGCTGTAAACAGGATGTCCCAGGAACTGATAGTCCAGTGCAAGGAGTACCTGGGGGAAATGGGGAGCTGGGTCTGCTGGGAGCTAAGGGTCTACTATAAGCACTGTCAACAGAGAGAAACAGACCATCTGAGGGCATCTGGAGAGGTGGAAAATGCATAGCCTGGACCCAAAAGGCTAGCAATCTAGTTCATGGTGGAGGCAATGCTAGTGGTAAAGCAGCAGCAGCTCTGGGAGAGTTCAAACTCCATCAGAAGGGGTAGGCAGCAAATCTAAACATGGGAGTTGGTGTTTAGGGGAAATCGAGTGGACAGTTCTCAAATATAAGAGCCATTATTGTTATCAGCATTCATGTATCACCAACATATTCCACAGTGCTGTACAATGTTCCAGATAGGGTATTAACAGAAGCGAATTGATTGGAAATCACTATAGCAGTATTTAAAGGGAGACACCTAGACCACTTCTGCCCATTGGAGTGGTCTGCGTGCCAACTCCCACTACCCTTAACCCTGCAAGTGTAATTATTGCAGTTTTTTTTTATAAACTGCAATAATTACATTGCAGGGTTAACTCCACAGCCACTAGAGGGCACTTCCTGCTCTATAGCACAGTAAACCTGTGCTAGAGCGTCGCTGGACGTCCTCATGCTGTGTGAACTCCAGCGTTGCTCAATTCCCCATAGGAAAGCCATTCCCAATATGTGCATTAGGTCTCCCGGGCCGGTGGGCGGGATCAGTCTTGCCCACCGGCCGACGTAAAAACTGGGAGGAGCAGCGGCGAGAAGAAACCACCGCCGAGGGACATCGGGGTCTCAGGTAAGTGACCTGAAGGGGTTTTCACCCCTTCATCAACTGTCGATGGGGGGTGGGAGGGAAAGGGGACCTGCAGTGCCAGGAAAACGGATTGTTTTCCTTGCACTGGTGTTTCCCGTTAATAGTGAAAGTAGGCCTAGGAGAGGTAGCAGACACTGTGGCTTGACATGTTTACTACCCAGTTGTACCTCTTTTGAAGGGGTTTTAGAACTACAGTGATAAGAAAATGTAATTTGAAAAAAATTGTTTGAATAAAGTTCTTATTCTGATGAGTTATTGTTCTTAAGCATTTGCAAGGTGAAACCCTGCTAAGTTACGATTTCATTTTGGTTCCAAATTCACAAGTTTGTTTATACCATGAATTGTATTCATAATTTGCCTCCCCAGTTGTTCATTGTGTCCAAGTCACTGTGTAGACTTTCTTTCACTTGGCTCACTTCTAAAATAAGAGGAATAACAGTTTAGTTTTGTGGTACAAGTTTTTTAATTTATATATGCTGAAGAGTTGCATTAACAACGAAACAGCTGTCCATGAGTGGTTCACAGATTTTGCATCTTTCCTATATTGTGTTTCAAGCTGTTGTATACAGCAAAAACAGATTAAAAGGAATCCATGTTTAAAATGGAGTGAGGCAAAAATGTGATTCTTTGTTAAACTAATTTGCATATGCCCACCCAGAATCCTTTGCGGTTGTAGCTTGACTGGTGTGCAGATTTTTATTTAACATTGTATTAATATTAAAATATATATATATATTATTTATTTTTCTTCACTTGGCTCTCTCCTAACTTATTTAGAAATATGCCTCTGACATGTTTACAAAAAAAAACCTTAACAAATTGGATGATTTGTTTGCAAGTTGCAGTCTTATGCAAGATATGCCATCTTATGATTATTATTGCCATTTATGTAGCGCCAGTAGATTCCGTAGCGCTTTACAATATTATGAGGAGGGATTTAACTAGAAATAGGACAATTACAAGAAAACTTACAGGAACGATAAGTTGAAGAGAGAAAGCATTGGATTGGCTGAGATGATCAATTCTGATATCTCAGCCAAGGAGGTAGATCGGGGGCGGGGCCAGGGCAGCAGATCCACACGGCGCCAGGATAAAGGTGAGTTTTTATCCTTTTTAAAAGGGACACTGTAGGCGCCCAGATCACTTCAGCTCATTGAAGTGGTCTGAGTGTAATGTCCCTTAACCCTGCAATAGTAACCAGAAAAGCTAAAATTTCTGGGGAAATTGTGAAGTGTTCTTGCCTCCACCAGTAGTCTACAACTGGAGTGGGTGGAGTGGCTTGAATAACTGTTGTGTGGTTGGAGTAACTGTGGAAAGGTTGGACTGGGCAAAGTAACTGTGTGGAGTGTTTGGAGTGAGTAAAGATAGTAAACATTACACTAACCAATTGATCAAATTTAAAAAGTGCACATGGCAAGCTTGATAGTGAGAAATGCATTTCAACTTTTATTTATTTATATAGCACATTTAATTGCAATGTTGTTGCCCAAAGTGCTTCACAGTTACATTAAAACATACATTTATAAAAACATTAGCAGGTGTACAAAAGGCCCTGTCCATGACATCACTTGCTGCTCCAGCCTGGCACAGGTCAGAATATTTTGGCGGTTGCCATCTTCAAACGGTCGTATTTTAAAAACTATCATTCCTACAGTGAAGAGCTTTATATTGTGAGAATCACAAGACCCAGACCTACATTTTGATGCATAGTATGTCTCTAAAATATTAAAAATGAAGGCACAGTTGCAGTTTAGAAATTGCCCTTCAGATTTGAGCTGGCTAGAGTGGAGTTTCAATGAATGTTAATGGACGGCGTGAGTTGCAAACAAATGGTCATATTGTGAAAACTGTGGACATGTTGAGTGGCAGCAGAGATAGCTGAACGTTTTGATATAAGATTTGTGTAGGTGGGCTTGATAATGAGGGAGTGGTGGCAGTTTAGAAATCATGTCCTGATTTTTCAGCTTTTGCCAGCTCCCACTCTAGTTTTGAACATTTTGCCATTCATGGGACCAATTTCGCCACAAGAACGACGATATTCCGTGAATCATTCGGCGAAACGTTCCACAAAGTAATAGCACACCAATCGGGAACAATCCGCACGTTTCGGTATATTACTGTCTATGTAGTGTAAAAACTGTGGGAGGAGTTAGGGTGGTAAATCTGGCTAGAATAATATATATGTGAAATAACAGTAAGTGGTCTTGCTATGCACATGCAAGAACACTTAATAATATATATGTGAGTTTTTTATATATATATATATATATATATATATATATATATATATATTCCCTTTAGTGCCGAGGGAGGGCGGCACTATAGAATCCCTTTAAAGAGAAACTATAGTGCCAGGAAAACAAGTGCCCACCTCCCCCCATGTGGTGCAGAAGAGATTACCTGGGTCCGCACTGGCTTGAGTCCACCTTAACTCCTCCCCTGCCATCACCTGGCTGGGGAGACCTAATGCGCATGACCGACAATGGCCCGCTCGCATTAGGATTTCCCTATAGCAATGCATTATACAATCCTTTTTCTATGAGGTGGCACTGCATGTGAAGACGTCTAGCTTCATCGCCTGACAGCCCGGAAGTGCCTCTAGTGGCTCTCTGGAGTTACCCCACAAAGCTAATTATTGCAGTTTATAAAAAAAAAACTGCAATAATTAGCGTTGCAAGGTTAAGGGATCTGGGACACTGTACTAAAGTGGTCTGGTTGCCTATAGTGTCCCTTTTAAGGAAGGCAGCCACCTGAATAACAGTAAAGAGCAGTGGTTCCCAAACCTGTCCTCAAGGCACCACTACCAGTCCAGGATTTGGGAAGGTGTTTTTAGGAAAAAATAAACACCTTGGACACAACTGGGTAATCCCTAAATCCTGGACTGATAGGGGTGCCTTGAGGACAGGTTTGGGAACCACTGGTATAGAGTCAGGAATACATGTTTGACCTTATAGTGTTCCTTTTTAATATTAAAAATGAAGGCACAGTTGCAGTTTAGAAATTGCCCTTCAGATTTGAGCTGGCTAGAGTGGAGTTTCAATGAATGTTAATGGACGGCGTGAGTTGCAAACAAATGGTCATATTGTGAAAACTGTGGACATGTTGAGTGGCAGCAGGGATAGCTGAACGTTTTGATATAAGATTTGTGTAGGTGGGCTTGATAATGAGGGAGTGGTGGCAGTTTAGAAATCATGTCCTGATTTCTCAGCTTTTGCCAGCTCCCACTCTAGTTACCTGGGTCCGCACTGTCTTGAGTCCACCTTAACTCCTCTATGTCATGATTCCCTTTTATTCCAGAAGTTTGGTCCTTAAGGGGTTAAGAAGATTATTTACTAAAATGAGCATTCAAAGTGAATTTCAAATTTAAGGCCAGAGTAGCCAAACTGAACATATAGATTATTTTTTTTCATGCACAGCTAGTTTGACCTTACATTTGAGTTTCACTTTACATAAAATACGTTCAAAGTTCATCTGTCAGTTAGTTGTAAACTTACAATTTAGATTTTTGCAACTGTTCCTACTTAAAAGTGAAACCTGTTCCAGTTTGATTTTAAACAATATGTTAAATTAAATATTCCTCAAGTGCCTTTTCCCCTTTGAATGGTACAGAGAGAGTATGAAGTATCTGGGCTCATCCAGACCCATCTCGTCTTAACTCTATACACAGACTAAAAAGGACAAGCCCCAAAAAAGACTCCATAAACAACTGTAGGGGTATAGTACAAATCACAGCATAACATTTAGGTAATGCCGTAGAAACCGCTACAATCAAAGATATTGCGCAAAAAAAAAAAAAAGGAATGTATCCACACCTAAAGAGTATAATGATACAAATCCTACAAAAGTAGAGCAAAAAGCCCTAGCATGTATCTCTCACCCGTAAGGAGAATTGATCAACTAAATGGTGAAAAGAGAGACTATAAAACCCAAACCACAGTGATAACATAACACTGCATTCAAATGAACAAAAAATAACAAACAATAATAATAGTACTTATCCATGGGGCCTCTCCACAAGTTCAAAAGATGCTGTGAGCTAAGTAGATGTAGCACAAGGGGATTCCAGGATCGCTGATACAGTAAGTGGTGGTGTCTGTAATACTCTGACCACACAGTGGCAAGGTGCTGAGTTCGGGAAGCACAACAAGCTGGGATCGCATGGTGAACCATGACAGGTAACTAGGAAAAGGTGAACCAAGGGCATACTTAGTCCGCGGCATGTCCTTATTGCTTACCCGATCGCCGACGTTTTATTTATTTATGTATGTGTGTGTGTGTGTGTGTGTATATATATATATATATATATATATATATATGTGTATATATATATATATATATGTATGTATATATATATGTATGTATGTATATATATATATATGTAATTTTTTTCTAACTGTATTTTGATATTAATATTTCAAAATACACTTAGAATTAAATTATATATGTGTGTGTATAAATTATATATATATATCCATAATCACATAAATATAGACGTAGACTTCAAATATATAAATATGTATTTATATTTAAATTCTACATGCATAATTAAATCATTTTATTGATTGCAATTTGAGGGACCTGCCTGACAACCCAGGCAGAAAGTCCAGAAAATTTAATTTGCTAGTACTATATTTAACCCTAACAAATTAGTGTTTCAAAACCGTAAAACATATCACAGCGATTGATATTGTCAGTGAAAGTGATGGTTTGTTTTTTTTTGCATTTTTCACATAAAAACGGCACTTTCACTGATGATATTGTTATGTTTTACTGTAACACTAATATGTGTTCAGTGAAGTCTCCAGAGTATAACAGTACCCCCCATGTACAGGTTTTATTGTGTTTTTGAAAGTTTCAGGGTCAAATATAAGGCTTGATTTTCCAGTTTTTCACATTGAAATTTGCCAGATTGGTTATGTTGCCTTTGAGAGGTAGCCCAGGAATGAGAATTATCCCCATGATGGCATACCATTTGCAAAAGAAGACAACCCAAGGTAATGCAAATGGAGTATGTTCAGTCTTTTTTTTTAGTAGCCACTTAGTCACAAACACTAGCCAAAGTTAGCATTCATAATTGTTTTTTTGCATTTTTAACACACAAACAAATATAAATGCTAACTTTGGCCAGTGTTTGTGACTAAGTGGCTACTAAAAAAGACAGTATATACCCCATATTGAATACCCTGGGTTGTCTACTTTAAAAAAAATATGTACATGTGAGGTGTGATTCAGAGATTTATGACAGATGACAGTGTTACAATGTCAATATTGATGTTAAAAATATATACATGTTAGCTTTCAGTAGCTAACATGTTTAAAAAAAAAAATACGAGACTTCATGGCAACATTCAATATGAATGATGTCAACTTGCACATTAGGATGATAGTATTCACATGAAAATTATTAAGGTTTGCAATCTATTCAGGAAAAAGCATCCTTTCTTTTCAATTCAAGCCCTGCCCTTTGGGTTGGCATCAGCGCCAAGAATATTTACAAAAAATCGGACTTCTCTAGCAGCAGCCCACATCAAAGAATCTCCAGCTAGAAAATATTTAGGCTTCAATGCTTACAAGAACATGGTTGGATCATCAGCTGAGTAAAGTCACAGTTTATTCCGGCTGTCAAATGGACAAAAGCAGCAACAAGACCCCTTTTAATGGGAAATTCTAGAAAACTGGTCCAAGAAAGACCAAAACCTAGATGTTGATTTAAGTCTGACCAGGGGTGTCCAAAAACAACTGGCATTGTGGAAGGAATCAAGGTTTGCAATTCCATCAAAGAGAATTGCTTATTATAAACAATGGAATCATCAAAGTTTGAATGGGGTGCACACATGCCTCTACACTTGTCTCTTTACTGGAGTGTTTGGTCTACAGAACAGTTAAACTAGTCTTCAAAGAAATGAAATGGGTTTTCTACAATGTTTTAAGAATTCAATCCTTGGATTTCGAGGAAGGCCATCAGGGTCCAGTCGGACTGTCACAACAAAGTGACCCCAACACCCAGAATGCAACCCTAAATAGAGAAAACGTATGAATGGACCTTAGAATGGCTGGGTTTAATGTGGATAGCAAGAGAATAGTCAAGGAAAAGTCAAAGAAAACCAGAGGTCGGGATAACGATAAGGAATAGCCGAGTCAGGAAACCAGAAAGCAGAATAGTCCAAATACAAGCCAAGTCAAAAAAATACCAGAGGACACGATCAGGAAACTCCATGGCACAAGAGGGAACAACAAGTGAAGCAGAATAGGGATGTGAACCAAAGCAATAGGTGCTCTATTTATAGGGGAGCATCTTTTGCTTCCAAACCACACTACCAAAACGTCAGATAGCGATGAATAATTAGATTTTATTTATTTTTGCGGTCCGCTATCACGTCGGCTCGCATGTGCCCCGTCCTAAAAGGGGCTTGATTGGAGGAGTTGGCAAATGAAAATCCCCCACGCAGGGAGTAAGGTATCGTTGTAACATATTCTTCCTCACCTTGCGGTCTCTGCACCCACCCTGCGGATCCATGGCAAAATATACCCCCACGTCCGCTCACGTGATTGACAACGTCGGCGTGCAGGTGACGTCACGTACGCGCCGCGTGTGCACGTTTTGGGGGCAAAGAGCGATTTCAGCCAATCAGAATAGTAAAGCAGGTATTTAAACCATAAAATACCTTTCCTCATTGCCCTGTCATGGTTGTCCTAGAGCGCATTCCTTATTCTGGTTATTTGACTTTGGCATTGATTTTGACTTTCCCTGTTTTCTGGTATCCCTGACTCCTGACTTTTCCTTAACGTTGTGTCTCTTTCTGTATCCCTTGACCTCGGCTATTCCTAACTATTCTTTGGTACGTTAGTCCGGCCATTCTACGTTACCTATCAGTCCTCTGTGTTACACAATTCTACGTGCTGGCTCATTCTGTAATCCTGACAATCTTGACACGGACAACATCACGACAGGAACATATTTGAGCAGGCAAGGAGGAACAAGGGTCAGAGCTATTCAGCTTATGCACAGATTATGCGATGAAGAGTTAGAATTTCTTACAACAACCAACATAAAAGGCATAGACATAGTCATTTCAGACAATCTAAGCAAGACCGAATGGTCCTTACGTCCGGAGGTTTTTACAACTCTTTGGTCTACCAGAAGTAGATTTGATGGCAATGTGGAAGACAAGAAAACTTCCCGTTTTCACATTCCTCTTCAAACCAGATCTCCCTCAATTCTTGGAGGGTATGTCAATCAAGTGGAACTTCAACCTGGAGTACATGTTCCCAGGGTTTCTCAGAAATCAGAACAGACCGGCATTGGTATTGGCTATAATCCCGTGTTGGCCTAACAGAAGCTGGTGTATGGAATAAAAACAGATAGCGTTAATGTATTGGGAACTTCCGATTTCAACTCCTCTTCTGGTAAACAAGACTTCCAATAGAGACTCGTCGGATGTTCAGATTAACGGCCTGGCTTCTGCAAGGTTAATCCTTCAATATCGTGGAATTCAAATGAACACGTTTGACCAGTTTCTACATCCCAAAAATTAGAATAGGTTCCTTTTATTGGTGTTTCCATATATTGGTACCATTTTGCATTTTCTCTAAGATGGTTTTGTTTCTGGTCAATGTGCAAGTTTCTTCTCTCTGTCATTTTCTTATTCAGGATTTTTTCAAAGCTTTTTCAAGACTATTCTCCTCAGACAGCCTCCTCGCAAATTCTTTTATCTACCTGGGATTTATCTGTGCTTCTTAAAGCTTTTGTGTGAACCATTTAAACCTTTAGAGGAAGTTTCTTTTAAGCTGATTTCGCTCAAGTTTGTTTTTTATTATGAGCATTATATCTGCTAGGAGCGTTGGGGAAATTCAGTCTCTCTTCTCATCAAAAATAATTTACAGTATTTACTTTAGGACAAATTGATCATATACCCGCAGCCATCCTATTTGCCCAAGGTTCAGTCCAAGGACTGTTAATCTACATATTTTTTTTTTTTTTTGCCTTTATTCTGCAGTTCCGCTTCATCTGCACAAGAACAGAAATGGTACCTTCTGGATGCCAGACAGGCTTTGTAGAGTTACCTTAACGTCTCTGATGCTTTCAGCAGATCATTGGATAACCTATTCATTAACTTACATGGAAAAATTTTGAGAAAGGATGGATTTTTTTTTTTTTAATTCTATTTAGATGGCGACTAGGTTTGATGGTCTTCCGGTGCCTTGTCCTTTTAAAACGCACTCCACGAGAGCAATGGCTACTTCCTGGGCTAAAAGATCTCATGTATCGCCAGAAGATATTTGCATGGCAGCAACATGGTCCTCATTCAACACATTAATAAAGCACTACAGGCTAGACATCTTCTCGTCCTTAGGGGCTGCTTTCGGACATAAGGTGCTCCAGGCTGTTTTTATAATGACACATGTTTTTTTGTGTGTGGGATCTTGCTATAGCCCAACTGTTTGCTGTACAATATGACAGCGTTGCTGGCAACGGCGAGGCTGGATCGAACTCTGATCCCAGAGTCTCCTCTGCATCATTCTTTTATTGGCCCCACTCTCAAAGTTTGGCTTACATGTGGGTTCATGTTAGTGGCAGGAGTAGGGCGCAGTCTGAAGAATTCAGACTTCCCTATACAGTGTAGTGCTGGGGCAGGGATCCCCTTCAGATCCAGCCCAGGTAGGGAGCTTGCATTCGGTAACAGACCAGTTAACTCAAGCACCAACCCTTTCCCTTTGCCAGGAGATGCAGAAGATCCAGATGGTAAGCGCCTGTAACCGGGGTCGGTCTTCGGTTATGTAATGGATACTGTTTAGTATTTTATCAAGAAATAAGTCAGGTGAAGGCAGAATACTGAAAGGTTATCATCAGTGGAGTGTTTGTTTTTTTTTTGTTGTTATTGAGGTGTGGAGGAAGCAGACATGCATGTATTAAGCACTAAACCAGAGTCTAAGTTACTGTATATGTAAAAATAAAAGTGTGTGTGTGTGTATTTTGTTGTGCTCAAAAGAAGGGATGTGCCTCTAATTCCAGAGAGAGAGCTCCATATCAGTCTGAAGTTTGTCCCTGACGAAGGTGCATCTCTTTAGCACCGAAACGTGCGTTGGGCATTTTACTCATATCACTTGGCACTGGTGGATGTAGCACCATGATTCTGCACTATACCTAATCTATCTCTATTTCTGTTCTATGCATGTCTAGCTAGATTAACAGGGAGAGAGGCTTTGTAATTTAATTTATACTACCAGCCTATCTTTTTGACTGGTCCTTTATCTATTACTTACCTCTATCCTTCCATCTATCCTTTTATAGCTCGATTTGGAGCATACTTTATATAGATTTGTATACTAGACGTTTCCTAGGATAGATAATTGTATGGGATTTTCCCCCCTCCCTTTTTTACCCTTACCCTAATAGCATATTATAATAAAGCTGACAATTAGGGTGTAGTTATGATTTAGGCTATATCTTGATATCCCTATCAATCATATCCTGGTCTGGCATAGAATTTTTGTATCACCTGTATATACCTTATTTATTTATTTTTTATTTTTCATTATATCACCATAGGTCTCTCACCATTTTTTATTATTTAACAAGCCAGGGTTTATAGTACACTATACCGTTATATATACTTCCAGGCCATGCAGCTGATCTCAAGTACACTCTGAGACAGACTGCATCTTGTTAATTTTTTGTTGCATTGTTTGTTTATTTGGGGTTAAGCCCCTCTGAGATACCTGGAATCTCGCTTCGGTACACTAGTCCCTGTGGGGCACCTGTTGATCTCCCCCCTTCTTTTTGTTACATCCTGGGGAGAGTGTATACAGGTGGACACACAGAGACATAGAACCTTGTGTTCTTTACTAACTTTTTGCCTCTAATTCCATACCAGTAAAAATTTGTTTTGTAAGGCAATTCGGATGGAGCTTTCTGAGTTGGCATTCATCTCCTTCAGGCACTAGCGCGTTCTGTTTTAATGTGATACCCATTTTCTCTCTCCATCATTCATGCTTTTTATATTTTCTCTCTTTTTGACCGTCTTGTAACTTGCGATTTATCAAATTTGTTCCTTTTAACATATCCTTTTTTTATGCTTTGGTTTACTTTAAAACATTTTGTTTGCAAAAACCTTTAACGCTGTGAGCAAATATAGGTAAAAGGGGCAATCCGCATAATCTCAGTACAGTTTGCATAATATATTATGGTGCAAATAATTGCTTATAGCTGTATCTGTTTGCAAACCTTTCTGCAGCTGTAAACTCACTCCCTGGCTCTGTTACATATGCCCTATATACAACTTCTTTGTCACTGTAGCAGTCTTGCAAATGCATTGATTCATGAAAAATATGGAGCTATTTATCAAGCAGACAAAAGCCACACTGCAGCATAGTACTGTCTTTCATTTATGTACGCATATGAGCAACAGTCTTTGTTGAGGAGAAATTTGACTTCAGTGGGGCCCTAATATAGTGTAATTCGCTGTACCATTTTAAAAGTCTGACTTAAACTTGCAATCTTTGAAAGACTATTTTATCAAATATATATTCAAGGTATGTAATTTACTTGAGGTATGTCAAATGCTACAATTTAAAGTTTTACAGTAGTGTGCATAATGTCACATACTGCATAATTAAAGATTATCTGCGTATTTTCATAGCACAAACCCTGCCATCACCTCTGCTGTTGTAAAACGTCTAAAACATATATATATTTTATTTTTTATCCCCCTCCCTTTTTAGGTCAGCATGACAGCAACGGCTGCTGTGAGTCCGAGCGAATATTTACAGCCAGCTGCATCTACAACCCAGGTACAATTTATTTTCTTTTTTTTGTCATATCCTTCTACTCCTGTCGCAGTAGTGCTGGAAATTATACCAAGCTCTGTATGTGCTTAACCCTATTTAGGTGATATATAACCTTTAGTAGGTGATTAGCAAGTCCTAATCTACTTGCCAGGCCTAAAATGTAATTTCCACCACAAATGTGACACGTGTACATGATTTATATTTCATTTACAGTATATCTCTATTTAGCACGCATGTCTTCCCTGTACTGCTGTCTGTTAGTCTCTCTAATAAACAATGTATTAAGCTCTCTACTAGTGTCCCTTCTGTCTCACATTGTATCTAGCTTTCTACAGTGTCATGTGCTTATAGCCACTATGTTTTCCAATGCGACTCCTTCCCCAAATATTACTTGCAGCGTCTGACTCCACAGAGTCACAAATAAATTCGCTAGCTATCTAGCTGTTTAGTGAGAAAACTGTGAGGAAAAACCTAGGTTAAAGATGTTAATAAGTTGGAAAGACAGAGAAATGGCTAGATGTCAGGGTGGACAAGATGGTAATAAGTCAGTATATATTACATGGGAAATATTAGGCGCTTAAAACATTTTCAAGTAATGTTAATCACAAGTAAAACAGGGAAGCAGCACATTGTTTTCTAACTTCCCCGACTAACACTTCTGTCAGTGTAACTTATAAATTAGGCATTGTTTATTTAAGGGGTTTATTCACTATACAGTTTGAAATTCTCTTACTTGACTCTAATCACAGTTTGGCTATGTCAGCCTAAACTGAGCAGTTTGGTTTGCAATTCATCAACATTTGGTATTTAAGGAACACAAACGTGTTCCTGACCCTATAGTGTTAAAACCACGATCTGGCCCACCTTGCCCCCTTAAATGTAGCAAAATACATTTACATACCTTTATTCCAGTCTGCAGCTGCTGTCTCTGCCCCGTTCTGCCTGCATGGCCAATAGGAAAGCATTTGATTGACTGAGAATGTCAGGGAGGCAGAGCCAGCACAAGATGCATTGAATCAATGCATCTCTGATGAAAGTTCAGTGTCTCCATGCAGAGGGTGGAGACATTAAATGGCAGCTCTACCCCAGGAAGCACCTCTAGTAGCCATCTGAGGAGTGGCCAGTGGAGTTAACCCTAGGCTGTAATGTAAACACTGCATTTTCTCTGAAAAGACTGTTTACAGCAAAAATCATGAAGGGAATGATAATACTCACCAGAACAAATACAATAAGCTGTAGTTGTTCTGGTGACTATAGTTTACCTTTAAGAAATATATCTCTCTCCCCCAAGTGTGAAAGTGTTTAAACAACTCCTCTTTAATTCAAAAAGTGCCTTACTCTGCAGACTGAAAAAAGCAGGGACATATGATTTTATTTTTCATATATAATATTATATGTCTCTGCGCTAACCATCTAGTGTCCTATGCCTAGGAATGTTGGAAAGGTGCAAAACTTATTTATTATGCGAATATAATTAAATATATATACAAATTACAAGAGCAACATGTGAATGTAGACCCTTGGTATATTATTGAAGCAGAAGCAACTAAAACTAGCAACTTTGAGTATTTTCTATGGTTAAACAGCGATATGAAACATATAAAGGCCCTTACAGATACAGCATTAATTTTGTATCAACTTTTAAAAGTCTGGGAGGAGATTTAAAAAAAAAAAAAAGCTTTGGGAATTGCCAAATATATACCAAAAACCTGTAAACTGACTGTATTAGAACAAAATATGAAAGACTTATCGTTAAAGAATTGGCCAAATAAAGATATAATTTCAATTTCAAAAATAATGAAAGATGATAAACTAATCTTATTTCCAGAAATGGTGGAAAAGTTTCAAGTTCCTAGTAGTGAAATTTTTACATATTTAAGAATTAAACATTTTCTAGATCTCCTCAGTGTTTTAAAATCTTCTTTCCAGCCAACAGGCTTTATGGAAAATATATTTGGCAATAAATATGTAAACAAAGTAATTTCTAAAGCTAATCTCCTTTTAAACTTACTTAATGACAACCCAACGAAAAGAACAAATTATTGGGAGCAAGAACTTGAATTAACAATAACGCTGGAAGAATGGTGTTCCTCATTGTTACATACTTCGAAAAATATACACTGCTTAAACTTGATAGAGTGCCATTTTAAAGTTATAAACAAATGGTATTTAACACCAAATAAATTAGCCAAAATGTATCAGAATTGCGATTCCACATGTTGGAGATGTGGTAGCAGTTTGGGTTCATATACCCATATATGGTGGTTTTGTCCAGGCGTTATTGAAATTTGGCTATGGGTCTTTAAATTATATTATGACTTGACAGGTATAAAATTTATATTTTCACCTACAGTTGCATTACTACATGTAAATTGGAATTTAAAATCACGAAATTATATCTGTATTGGCGTTCACTGCTTTATAGCTACGAAAATAGTAATAGCCAGAAATTGGAGGTCCTCTTACCTCTTCAAAAACAACATATACTTTTTCAAATTAAAACCCAATTGAATATGGAAAAATCGCTTACGATAAATCATATTTCTCAAATAAAAAGAAATGTTATGGATGAAAACTGGCTAAACAAATTGTCAACTATGTAAGATATATCCTGAACTTGAAGTTAAAAAGATTTTTGAAAATCTGAATTTGTAAAGTACCCCCTGGAATGAATGTTAGCACATCTATGTAATGTAAATTATTATGTATTTGTGTTTGAGTGATTTAATTTTTAATTTTTTTTTGTATACTGATATGAATTGTATTTGCTAAAAATTCAAATAAAGAAATATTGAAATAAAAAAATGCAAACTGCAGCTCTCCTTTCTACAAATTGTGCAAGTCTGACATTCAGCCCTGTGCTGGCTGCTTACATTTGCAGCCATTAAAATGTGTCTGTACCAGCAGCCCCGGGGTCAGAGAGCTGAAGTCTTTCTGGGCCTGATTCAGCTGATTAATCACTGGAGCAGCCTCAGCACACTCCAATGCTGGAGTGGGGCAATGTACAGCACATTCTGTACTCACAGGGACTGAATTTGCTGTTGCACACTGCTAGCATGCAAGTGGAAATGTGAAGTCCTGTTGTGGGTTATACTTTTCTGAAATGCACAGTTTACCATTCAGTGTTGCTGTTGTCAGCTATTCTCCAACCATTGTAGACTATAACCACAATAATAAGTCATTTGCATTGGAGATAAATAAACAGCCACTGAGTCAAAAGTGTTCCATTACTTAAAGGGACACTTTAGGCACTATAACCATTTCAGTAAAAAAAACACAGGCAATGTGGGTAGTTTTATTAAGATTCTACTGTAAAGTATTTTTAAGCAGTTTAACCCTGTATGAGGGTCCCTGACCAACCCTAGCTTTGCCCTTGCTGGAGCTTTGGCTAAGGCAAAGATTACACACTTCCTCAAGTCATACCAGCAATGGGTGCTGTAATAGGCTGAAAGCGGTTAGCTGACACTCTTAGCCAATCATTGCCACCCATTGCTGCTCAGGCTAATGCTGCCTGATTAGCCCAAGCAGCACAGTGAGGATGGATAGCGACTCCTATCTAGCACTAAAACACGAAAACCTTTTTAACACTGAATGGAATGGTGATGCCATGTACTTTACACATTATAACCACTTCAACTACATAATGCTGTTACAGTGCCTAGTGCCTCTTAACAATTTTAAAGCTGGCAGATGTTCTTTAGTGTAAATTTTATTTACACTACCAAAAAGTGTATTGTGCAATGTTCAGAGGACTGCACTTGATTTTAAAACTGAACACCTACAATACCTACCCAAAATAAATACCAAACCATGAATAGCAATGAAACTTATTGTATGGTAACCAATTATTTCTCTCTTTTCTTCTACCAATCCCACAGGATACTCAACCGTCTCCTCTTGCTCTGCTTGCTGCCACATGCAGTAAAATTGGGCCACCGGCAGTGGAAGCGGCTATAGCTCCTCCAGCACCCTCTCGACCAACTCGCAAAAGACTGATACCCATAAAACCTGCTCCTCTGCCTTTGAGCCCAGCAAAGGCTGGTATTGGATTTTTGTCCTCAAAAGGAAATGTTATCCAGATCCAGAATCCCCAGTTGAGTACAGGAGGCCCAGGAAATGGACAACTGTTCTTAACCATTCAGAATCCAGTGGCTAAGGGTAACAGATATCAGGCTTTGCAGTCTACCAGCCAGACACTGTCTGTTCCACAAAACCTAGCTAATCAATTGCAGATCCTTGCTGATGGCACAACACTGCTTGCACCAACCACAAACCCTTCAAAACATGTGCCCATCAAACCAGCACCCCCACAAAAAAACAACAACCTGGTGAAAGTAGGAGGCAGTGGTCTTACATTGGCCTTACCTCTGAATAGTCTTGGAGACACCTCAGTAGAGACATGCTCTCAGCTCTTATCTGCTAAACCTAGCAAAAAAATTCGTAGGAAACTTACCCCTTCTGGACCAGCCCCGGGATCTCCAACACAAGAACAGATGGAAACTGTAGTGATTGAAACTACAGCCGAAAACATCTTGCAGGCAGGTAACAACCTGCTCATTGTTCAGAGCCCTGGTGCTGGGCAGCATGCTGTACTTCAAGTGATGCAGCCCAAAACGGACACTCAATTAGTGCAAATTCCCTCACAGGCGTTAAGAGTGGTACAAGCTGCTTCTGCCACGTTACCCACAGTGCCACAGAAACCAGCACAGAATGTCCAAAGTGCAGATATGTTACCCACACAGGTATTTAGGCAGACTTACTTGTATGCTATTATTTCAAAGTTTTTCATTTTTACTCCTTAATTTCTGTGTTTTAGATGGTTATTGCCTTTTCCTGCAGGTAAAAGCGAGTTGCTTCTTTACAACACATCTTCCTCTGGAGCTGAAGTTCTACCATACGTTTTCATTGCCAAATATGTGACTGTTTTATTACTATATATTTAACTTTTGTGTCATCTTCTCAGATTTTTACCTTTTTCATTATATTCATTTTACATAAATTGACACATTTTATCCCTTTTTCTTCCTTCATCAGCTAGGTCTTGTGGTCCTTAAAGTAGTTGTTTTGGGACACACATCTTTAACTTCCAAAATAAAAGTTGCTAAAAGGATTGCAACAGCAAATATTTGAGTTATGAGTAAAAAAATAAAATCTTTCCTCTCACTTGTCAGTATTAGAACTGAGTAATGAAGAGAGCAGGAGAATTGCCTATAGGATGTTCTTCACTCCATCACAGTAACAACAGCACATGTAGTATGAAGTAACTACACTACATGCTGTAGTTGTGGTTGTTACAAACACCGTTGGGCTGGCAGCGAAGTCAGCATGTCTTAGGAAAGTGTTCATAAACAACCATTCAGGTAGGAGGGGGCGGGTGTTATTTTATGATAGACACGGGGTAGGAGGAAGTAATTTAGAGTGTTTGAAAGAAAAGTATTGCTTATCTTTCAGTACTCGCCATCCTGATCTTGTCTCGTCTTCCTAGCTGAGATTAATGATCTCGACCAATCCAATGCTTCCCTCTAGGAGAGACGTTTGAATAAAAGCTGGGAAAGACTCGATTCTCACATGGATGCACCTCTAGTTGCTGTCAAAACCTGCCTGGGCTCTAATAGATTGTGATGCAAGGAGGTCATTTGTAACAACAGTTTATAACAGAAGCAATATTCAGATATCTGCAGCTATAAGACTCTCTTCTGTACCAGGCATCAATACTTATTTTTTACTGTACAAGTTGTGCTTATCTGCATGCTGCATAGGTCTGTATTGTTAGTTGCCCAACCCCAACCCCTCCGCAGCTCTGAGGTTTATGGAATAAAAAGGATCTTCCTGATTTGTGGAGCTTTGTTTTTAGTTTGCTGCTTCATGCCTATAGATTATCTGCAGCATTAAAAGGAATTATCTTCAGGATGATTTTAAATCACTTGTAAGATTTGATTTATTATCATGATTTGTAAATATAAAAACTTATTCTTGCTGATTTTGTTATAATTTTAATATTCACAACTATATAAAGCTTTCATATTTGGGATTATAACTTATCAGACTAGTTAAATTTTAGATCAGAAATTATTTTCTATATACAATCAGAAATACCTAGAGAATGATAAAATCATTGCAAGGTGCACTATCTCTAGTTTAATAAGTTACTCCTATTTGGAAAACAATTTAAATTGTTTGTTACCTAACATTATATAGCCTACATATTCTTGAATTTGCTTTAACATCAATGTTTGTTGTAAAGGAAGTGGTTAAATACAATATCGTATGAAAATAAATGCTTGAACTGCAATGGTCTGCCATCTTACCTGGATCCTCCACCTGGCGGCAAGCATTATCTGATCTGTGTGATGCGCATCCTGCTTTTTCAGATTAGGAGAAGCCAGATGTCTCCCACTGGTCATTCATTGGCTGAAAGCATTAGCTAATTCTGATTCTCAGCCAATGAATGACCCACTGTGCACCAAATATGCACAGAGCTGCCACTGATGTACAATGATGCTGCTGGCGATGAAGATACATCTGACAACAATGTAAGATCTCTCCGTATGCATTGAATTTTATAAAGAAAAACTGCATGTAAAAATACCAAGCACCATGACCATTTAAAAGAGGTCATGATGCTTGGAGTAATAACTTTAGTTGAGCTATTCATTGTGTGTACATGGTTTTTCAATATAACAATGGGATAAAGGTCTTTTTCTGAACTTTGTATGTTTATTTTATAGCATTTCACTGTGAGAAATTATCTCTGCAGACATACATCATCTAATTAATTAACCAAAAATTTAAATATTGCATGAATACCCAGCCTCATGTTACATAACTAATCCATATTTCATGCTGAATAACCTTTGGACTATAATGTATTCTAAATAGAAAGCTATCATTAGATCCAATAGAAATTATAAAAATAATGTATTTTTTTTCCCCGATTTTTCTCCACACTGATAATTTTGTATAATTGTTATTTAACTGTTTCGATAATGCATAACAGGTGGAGTTTATTTCTTACATTTAAGTGTCTTTTTGTAAATTGATTTATTTTTAAAAGATAAACTGTCCCCTTTTCAAAGTTGACAATTCCTCTTAATTTCCTTACAATCATCTCTTTATCCCCCACACACTGGTTTATTTAAACTGCTCAATTGTCCATTAATGTCTTTATTCCCCTGTTTACAGCTTTTTATCCGTACAGCTTCGGGAGAGTTGCAGGCTCTTGTGATGCAAGAAGCTTCAACAGCTACACCAGCCCCCCAACCATGCACTTCACTCAGCACAGGGTCACTGGGCATTCAGGCAGCAAACCCCACTAAGAAGAATCTTGGCCGAAAAGAGCGATCATTGCCCAAAATTGCACCTGCAGGGGGGATCATTAACCTTAACACAGCACAGCTAGCAGCTGCAGCACAGGCCATGCAGACTATTAGTATCAATGGACTTCCAATGCAAGGAGTGCCTGTCACAATCACCAGCAATGGAGGTGAATATCAAACTGTGGAGATTTTAAGGGACACTCCAGGGTCACACCACCACACACACACGTTTTAATGCATATGAGGGAAAAAAGTAAACATTGTAAATATATGCCATGGTTTAAAAAAATAAAATAAAACCATAAAACTTGTTTGTATCTCAGTGTCTTGAAAGGATTATTTGAAGGTCTTCAAGCTCTTTTCTGCATTATAAACATCTACATATGCCAGGATATGACTAACTGCTCCATGACAATCCTGCTCTATAGAAACACTATATGTACACCGGTGGCATGATTACCATACCTTTTGATGATTTTGTAAGTGCATTGTTTGTGAGCTGCATTGTAGACCACCAGTTCAAAGTACATTATGCATTCTGTATACTTATAACAGCATACATGCATTTGAATGGAAACCATTGCATGTGTGATGTGATTATGTAGGGAAGGGGTGCCCAAAAAGTAGATGCCCAGATGTTTTAACACTTCAGCTTCCATGATGCATTGCCAATCTAAAAGGCATGCAAAGCATCATGGGAGTTGTAGTTCTACAATATATGGGGAGCTACCCTTTTCGGCACCGTGATGTAGGGGGTGCAGCAACTGTGCTATACTGAGTGCACGTGTATTCTTATTACAGAGAGAGAGTCAAATAAAGGTAGGAGAAAATGCAAGTATCCTACACTTACTAGCAGGCCAACAAAAAAAAAAACTAAAAATAAAGAAAATTGGGTGATACTTTTATTTTTATTCTTATTTTGCATGCTTGTAACATTTTCCCTGGAGTGTCCCATTAACTGTACAGTATCCCAAATAAAACCCCAAAAACAAATCCCAGTATAAATGTATACTGTACTAGGATTTCATTGGTTAGTTTTATGGTTAAATAAACTATTGTGTATACTCAGGTCAGCCTCAGCTCAGCGTGCAGAATGTGTCTAGTGGTAATGTGGCTATCAGTGGTCTCAGCCCCTCCCAGATCCAGCTTCAGATGGAACAGGCCTTGTCTGGTGAGCTCCAACCAGGAGAGAAAAGGAGAAGAGTGGCTTGTACTTGCCCAAACTGCAAGGATGGAGAGAAGGGGTGAGAGGGGAATAATGTTTGTTTTTGTTGCTGGACAAAAAGGCATAGGAATGGTGGGTGGAGGTGGGCAAGGTACAAAAATGGGAGGAGGGTGGTCTTGGTGGTTGGAAAGAATGGACAGAGGAGAGACTCTCTCTCCCTCTTAGCAGGTGGGGCCCTCCTGGCAGGAAGAGGCATGTGTGTCACATCCCAGAGTGTGGAAGAACGTTCCGCAAGACTTCCCTCCTGAGAGCCCACGTTCGCCTGCACACCGGCGAGAGACCATTCGTGTGCAACTGGGGATTCTGTACTAAGAGGTTCACCCGCAGTGATGAGCTGCAACGACACGCTCGCACGCACACAGGTGTGTGGCGCATGTAGGCATGCATGCACACGTACTAACTAGACTGACAGATTGGCACATATTTATGTACACACACACACACGTACATACAGCATATTCTGATACTGATCTTTGATATTCTTGCACAGGTGACAAGCGTTTTGAATGCCCTCACTGTCAGAAGAGGTTCACACGAAGCGACCATGTCTCAAAGCATTTCAAGACACATCTTGTGCCCAAGAAGTTGTAATGCTTACGGATCCTTACCTTGATAACTAGAAACAAGGCTATTGCACCCCATGTAGAAACTCCCTATACAAAGTGTGGTCCACTTAGCCTGAAAGGTCTGTGGGACCTCAAAATTAACAGTGCTCCAGCTTTTGAGCTCACCCTAAGATTTCCAGTAGTTATGGACACTACTCATTACCTCTTGCACTGCCCGGGTGGGCTCAGCATGTTGCAGATGAAGTGGTGTAAGTGAGTGCAAGGTGTTTATTGCTGAATGCTTGGAAACGTCATTGAGGTTTGCAAGGATTATAAGACAGTCGAGGAACATTCAATATAAAAAGAAAACAACAAATTAGAAGGAAGTCCTCTGGCTGCCAAATGGATCAACCTGGGAAGAGAGACAGTGTGGAATCATGTGAAAAATGGGCCAGAACATTCCCACTTTTATACTGCTCTCCCCCTGCAGGAAGGTGCCTTATTACCTCCCCACCCCAAACACCCTATAAAAGCTTATTTATATAGTTGTGCTAATCTTTCTTCCCCATTCAACTGTGCTTGAGAGATGCTAGTATGTTTATAACCTCTGCAGTCATATCCTACTCAGTAGGTGGCTGTGCCAGGAACCCATTCTTCCCTCAACCCTGTGTCATCTTTTGTGGGCAGCAGTGCCAAGTCCCTCCTGTTCACAATGTACATGACATGCATTGTATACACAATAATGAATTAATTAAAAGAGGGGATTCTATTTGTCTAATGTTGTTCTCCTGGGTTTTCCCTTACAGTTCTAGCTATTCATCTAAAGATTATTCACTAAGCATTGAATTGTTTAAAATGAAATGGTAAGATTCAGGTCAAAATATCAGAAATTGGCATGTTTTGGGGTTTTTTCATTTCTCTGTTGGCCTTCCAATTTAATTGTGTGTTCACGAAACATTTCTGTTTAGTAAAATAAATTCTGCAGTCTATTTCATAACTTGCTGGGAAATAAAATAGACACTGAAGCATACCCATTAAAGGGAACTGATCATTTAGTTTAGGTAGGTTTATAACATAAATAATAAGGTAGGGGGATAAAAGAGTTTGATTCCCTTATTACAAAGTCCCAAAAGTTTGCAATCAGTTGGTGGATACTTTTATTATATATATTTTTTAAAATATAGCAATTATTTATAAAGTGAACACACTCAAGTAATTTCAACATGCGTTTGACCTACTGAAACAAAACGTGGGGAAGAGACAATCTTGTAATTAAAGTAGATGTTCTATAGTAATGTAAATATATAATCCTTTTTTTTATCACTTAATGCATACCATTGCGTTTTTAAAAGAAAGTATAAAAGTGTGTCAATGCCACCATATGGTCATAACAGGTGCTACAGTGGAGTGAATGGTAAATTGCTGGTAGACTGGACTGGGACAATAAGAGCGATATAATCTAAGGAGCAAGAATATAAATACTGGTTACTAAATTGGGGGGTAAACTCTACAAGCGGCGAAAAACCAACAAAAGTGAAAGTAACCCAAATTTATTCTCAAACGGAACTTGTAAGTATTATGCTATCTGCTCTGCTGACACTGAAACTAAAATGTAAATCTTATGTATAAAGGATTTTTAATACACAATTGGAGAAAGTGCAACAATTTATGGCTTTACAGTTGCATACTTCTAAAATGTTGCAAGCTTTCTATTGATATTGTTTCCCCGTGAAGTGAAGAGTATTTATACTTGTAAGAGTTAAAGGGGCACTGTCATGCCGAATTTACCTTCCTCAATCTCTTCCTCTTCTCCCCCTCTCTCAGGATCTGTTCTTCTTTTCTTCCTGTTTTCTTTAAAATCATAAGACAAAGTAGGGACTCTTTGCCTTATGGAGGATTCCTCCGCTTGACCAGCGGATGAGCAAAGTGTGCTTCATTTCCGCTGGTCAGAGCAATTTTCCCATGATCCCTAGCTTTCCTCCGTGTTCCCACGATGCTTCCTGTCATTTTACACAAAACTGCCGAATTGCGTTCTAACTGAATGAGAACAGTATGTTCGTTTCTTTTAGAACGCAATTCGGCATTTTATTCGGATCGGAATTTCATTCGAATGAATGAAACTCCAATCCTATTCGTGCTGTGGCTGCATCTTGCAGCCGCTTAGTAGATAACTCCCTAATTCCCACGGTATCAGGTAGTTATCTACTAAAAGGCTGAAAGACCTAAATTGGTCGTTCAGCCACATTTACTAATACTAAGTCAAAATTACTTAGTATTAGTAAATGATCTAGGGGCATGTCTAGTAAACAGTGAACAGCCTGTGGCTGCTCACTGTAAAAAAAAACTATTGGCCCCCACCCCTAAACGACGGGTGGGGACCCTAAAGTAAAATAAGGGGGGAGACCTAATGTGCCCCCCCCGGCCCCAACCCCTGGGTGGCGGGTGGGGGCATAATGATAATGGGGGGGGGGACCTACTATCCCCCCACCCCCCGGCCCCCACCCCTGGCCGGCGGGTGGGGGCATAATGATATTGGGGGGGACCTACTGCCCCCCCGGCCCCCACCCCTGGGCGGCGGGTGGGGGCCATAATAATAATGAAGGGGGGGACCTACTGCCCCACCCCCCCGGCCCCCACCCCTGGGCGGCGGCCAAAACGATAATGGGGGGGGACCTACTTCCCCCTCCGGCCCCCAGCCCTGGGCGGCAGGTGGGGGCCATAAAGATAATGGGGGAGGGGACCTACTGTCCTCCCCCCCCCGGCCCCTACCCATGGGCGGCGGGTGGGGGCCCTAAGTCAATTTCCTCCCCCCACAAGGTGACTAGGGGTCCCTCTGTCCCCACCCAAATAAAAAGTCCCTTTACCCCTCTCACCCTAAAAAATAGTGAGGGGGAATAAAATAACTAACCTGTAAATTAACTTACTACTCAAATTTTTTTCAGCCAAAGCCTCAGTGAAAAACATCAAACCCGTGTAACTAAAATAAAAAGAAAAACCGAGCAAAAAATAATCCATCTTCACCCATGGAGGGCTCCACAAGAGATTGAGCTCAAGAGGGCTGGGAAGGCTTATAAAGCCTTGCCCCACCCCTGCAGTTAGGCTAAGAACACTCTGGATTAGGTCCCTCGGGATTTTTCTTTTTCCTGTTTTTTTTTTGCGGTCAGGGATTTTTAAGTTCGACGGTTATGATGGTTTTTTATTTGGCCTTTTTGGGGCTGAAAAATGAAGATTTGAGAAAAAAGAAGATGTCTAATGGTAAGTTTAATTTTATTTTACTGGTTAGTATTTTTATTCCCCCCTCACTATTTTTTATGGTGAGGGGGGTAGGTAGGGACTTTTTATTTGGGTGGGGGGGTGGGTGACTAGGGGCTTGGGGACCCCTAGTCACCTTGGGGGGGGAAATTGACTTAGGGCCCCCACCCGCCGCCCAGGGGTGGGAGCTGGAGGGGGGTAGGACAGTAGGTTCCCCCCCACCTCATTATCTTTATAGCCCCCACCCGCCGCCCAGGGGTGGGGGCTGGAGGGGGTGTGGACAGTAGGTCCCCCCCTCATCATTATGGCGCCCAGGGGTGGGGGGGCAGTAGGTCCCTCCCCCTCATTATCAATATGGCCCCCACCAACTGCCATGGGGGGGCAGTAGGTCCCGCCCCCCTCATTATCATTATGGCCCCCACCCGCCGTCCAGGGTTGGGGGCCGGGGGGGCAGTAGGTCCCTTCCCCCTCATTATCAATTATGGCCCCCACCCGCCGTGCAGGGGGGGGTAGTAGGTGCCTCCCCCCTCAATATCATTATGGCCCCCAGGCCCCCTTATTTTACTTTAGGGCCCCCATCCGTTGTTTAGGGGTGGGGGCCAATAGCTTTTACAGTGAGCAGCCACAGCTGCTCACTGTTTAGTAGACATGCCCGTACTCGCGGTATAGCGAGTAGGGGCATTGGGGAGATTTTAATCTCCATTATGCTATTATGGGTCATATTGACCCCCATAGAGTGAGGGGGGACCTGGGGGGCTTATGAAGTGGCGGGGAGCACTGCTCCCTGCCGCTTCTATCTTTACATATTACAAGGAGGGAGCTGCTTGCCAGTAGCTCCCTCCTTGTACTAAACTGAGCGAACAAACGAACACTGATACACAGTGTTAGTTTGTTCGGCTGATATTTCTATTCACTCATTCGTCTGTCTGATGAATGCATGAATAGATGAAATTCCCGTTCACATGTCCAGTTGTTTCACTGGGCATGTGCGGGAATCTCACAGTCTGTCTAGTGTGGGCAGATGACGTATCCCACAAGGACTTCATCTACCAACACAAAGATGGCGGCGCCCTGAATATAGATCGGGGCAGAAAATAAGGAATAAAAAATAGGTAATATGGGGGGCTTACGGGGGTGACTAGGGTGTCAGTTAGAGATAGTGGAGGCCGGAGGGGGGTTAAAAAAAAAAAAAACAGGATTCGGCATGACAGTGCCGCTTTAAGCACAGATGCACACTTCACTATTAACACTTTTTTAAAATTCTTTATTTTATGTTGTGCATAGGTATACAAGCAGACTTGCAGAGCCACAACAGCTTACGCAAGTATTATGAAACATAGTAATACATTTGGCATAACGGGTAAACTGCACATTTTATATATTGTAGTGAGGGCTAAGTCACACGGATCAGAGAGGGGTAGTTATGTCATTAAACAACCATAAGAAAGGAACCCTCTGTGAACAAGATTGATGAGTGCTGACAGTAGTGACATTGACAATAAAGTAGAGTTAGAATAAGTTAAGCTTGCCAGCTCAGAGTTAAATAAGGAGGTTAGAGCGCAAGATTTGCGTTGAGCTCGGTATTGCTACATCAACATAGTGTGTGAACACCCCATAGACGCCCACCTTGGGTAGTTGGATAGTAAAGCCGCCAAAAAAATAAAATTAGGATATAAACAAAAGATTAGGCTCAGAACATACATTTGGAAATTTTCTAACTAAGGTTTGCAATGTGAAGGCTGAGGGGAGAGCTCAAATCAGCCAATACCCTCTAGGGTCTGGTATAGTCCTGCT